TGTCTTTCTCATGGTGGAGCAATTTTCCTTCTGTCTGTTATGAAGTTAATAGACGTTTTTAGCCTTTAAGTAAAGTAATGCTGATTTTGATTTGAGTTTTTGTTGAGATTAATGTTTTTCTCACTATCTTAATAAGAAAAATCTTTATTTTACAAACTTCCTATGTAGGGATATTGTGTGAAAAATAAATAAGGAGTCTGTTGAATAGGTCACTATATACGTTTCAGAATTAGATTTTCAGATATGTCAAAAGATTATAATGAACCTTACCTGTTTGAAATTTAAGTTCCATTTCCACTCATAGATCCCCGTTTCCTACGGCAAGATCAAATGTGTTTCTCTCTGTGCTACGAAAGTTTATGTCACTCCCTTCTCATGATTTATAGTGACTAGACAACTTACCAATTAATAAGCGAAAATAGAATCTTGAAAACCTTTGCAACAAAAGCAGCTTTTATTAAAATAGAGCTTTATTTGAGATGTCTAGGTTTGCATTTTGTTCACGTTCTCAAAAAGATCATAAATCACAAAATGTCACTAATGGATTATCCAGCTCTCTGATCTTTAGCTGCTTAGTTGCAATGACATACTTTTTAGCCAACTACAGACGGAGTGCAATGTAACCTATCTTAAAAGGGGATGGAGCGAGAAGGAATAGGTTCTGAAACGTCTCACATGTAATTGTGGATCAGTTAGTTTTTGAGGAGAAGTCCCAGTCTGATAGGAACAGAAGGAAAAAAATCATGTTAGAAACTTAAATAAGAGAATATTAACCTTATAAAAGGGGGATGGAAGGGAGAGGGGAAGAAAAACCTTGTATAAACCTTTCTCACTCTAAAACAGAGACAAGCAATGCCTGTCTGTTATCTCCTTGAATATAAGATAGTGTGGGGAAACGGATATCTAGGATTGCCCCACAGAATATTTCTTGTAGGTAGAAACTGGCAGATAAGGAGGCTGAAGATAACTGGAGGATCAGTGGGTATAATAAGGAGAGGTCATGCAATGTGGATGAAGTCTCAGATTCCTTGAGATTTTTAAGTAGCACAATTCTTCTCAGAAGTAATTTAAAGTAGAATCTAGTGCTTAGAGTTGTGGCACAGTCGCAAGATACATTTAATTGTACAAAACTGTTTTTTCAGCTCATGACATCTGCATACTCATTAGACTAATGGTACTGCGCTAATGCTAACAAGAAAAAATGTTTTTCCTATGCTCTGGCATTTAAAAAGAAAAAGAAGAACGCTACACTTCACGGTTAATAGAATAGGCGGATTTATGTCGAGTACATGATGACTGAATGAACAGACATTTAGTTATTTCTATACTGAACATTATCTTTTTATTGTTAAAACCTCAACTTATTTTTTTCTCTCCCTATATTGAGGAATAATGCAAGAAACTGAGAAGAAACCCAAATGCTAGTTTTTGCCTCCCCCCCACTTAATAAACTGCCTTCCTAATAGCTGAAACTAAATTCCGAATAGTAACACAAGAACAGTTACTATCTAAATGTTTTGCTTTAAACTGCAAATCCTAAGGCTTTCTTTTACTGGCTGTGGATAAAAAACCTATTTTCCATGCTCTCCTCTCTTCAGCTTTAAGATGTTACAGTCTGGAAAGGCAGGAGTATACCTCTCTGCCTGAGTTTTCTTTTTATTCCACGTGTCCTCTTTTTTACAGAGTCAGAATGTTGAAGACGAAACAGCAGAGAATCCATGTTCAGGTAAGGATCTCTTTTGTAATTAGTGATATGAGCTGATGTAGCATTATAAATGGGGCTGATTTTGACAGTAGTTGCTTTGGTGCCATTGTAGAGTGATTGTTTACTGATATTTACAGTTCTGTTCTCTTAATTGCACTTATCTTGAGAATATACTATTGCTTTCTGGAAAAATAATTTACGCTTGAAGATAAAGTGGCTTATTGTTGCTTGCATCACAAAACACTTAGCATCTTTATTTCTTTAAAACCATCTTTGTTTTTTTTCCTTTGGCGATGATATCTATCAAACAAAGTGTTTCATCGCAATTGTTTTTCTGTTTGCATGCATTAAGGCTGACTGGCTTTTAACATGCTTCCTTCAGTTCAATTCTTCCAGCGAAACCCATGGTATGTAACTCTCTTATCTGTCAGGAAAGATCCAGAGTCTGCCCAATAAAAGAGTAACATAATTTTTGGATAATAATAAATATTGTTGCAATAACTGTAAGGGAAGTAACACTTTGTAGCAATAAGGTTTTATCAGTGCTTTCTACCTGTTAATATCACACATGTGTTTTTAGCAGGTTTTATACGTAACTTCCATTTTCAAAACCATATCAAGTTTCAAAGATGAGGAAAACCATGGCTTTTATCTTGCTGAGACAAGGCTTACATGTTGTAATAGAAGTTATGACAACAGGTGATATTGAATGTATTTTTGGGCTCAGATCTTTTATGTGTTAGTGTATTTGACTTTTTTTTAGTTTTTTTGTGTGTAAAGTACAATGGGCATACATGGTCTGGGAATAATAAGAAATAGAAGTTAAGGAAGGAAAACAGTAATAATGTGATTGCAACTTCTAACCAAATGCTTTTAATGAAGGGCAAAGTTTGTGCCAATATTTAATGTATTTTGGAAGATTAGCTGGTTAAAACCTCAGACTAAAATGTTAAGGACAGCTTTTGCTTTCATGTTTCCACATATATATTTCTGACTGAACAAAACTCACCCTTTTTAGTGGTACAGTTTCAGTAGAAGTAAAACAATTGAGTGATGTTTAAGTGATTATTCTTCAAATGTATTACCCTCCCACTTTTTTCTTGCAATATGAGATTTCCGAATTATATATATTCCTCTGTCAGGAGAAGAAGAACCAAACTCCTCCCTTTTGATCCCTCCCCCAGGCATTCCAGTACAAAAGAAAACTTTCTGAGTGGGAGCTAGATAGGTAAAATGGATGTTCTTCAGAACGTAATTGTGAAGGTGAGAAAAAATTTTTTCTATCTCCTAGAAGATATGAGAGAGCAGAAATTAGGTTATGAAATCAGTTTGAAATCAGTTTCTATTTAGAAGGGGATGTTGTATTTCGTTCTTGCTAAATACTTTTATACTGTAAGGAATATCCATTACTGAATTTGTTTATTTAAATCTGCATATATTTGTTCAAAATATTCAGGGGTAGTTGTATGTGTATTTATAAAACGTATGCGCATGTGCTTATAGGTCTTAGATGTGGTTTTATTTTAGGTATAGTTAGAAGGTATATAAGATTTTTTTTCAATGTAGAATTGCTATATTCCTGTAAATATGCAGCTATTCATTTTATATATTGCAGAATAATCTTTTTCTAAAGATTAGTATTTCTCCTATTAATTTCTAACTGCTATTTGTTTCGTTCATTTGGTATGTGAAGCTTATTGGCTGATACAGTCCTCAAATTGGCTTTAATGATATCTAGTCTGAGCTGTAATTATCTTCGGGCGGTAGAATTTGATTACCTGCACAGGTTGGGAGTGTTTATCTCTCAGAAATGTTGGTGAGTGATTTTTTTGTCAGAACATTTAAGTACTGCATACTATAGCCTCTTGCATCCATTTCCAAACTTGGACCTAATATGCCCATAGATTTTCTAATAATATAATGATGTTCTGATTAGCTTTTTATTTTATGTTTGAGTAGCTTTTTATTTTATGTCTCAGAAAAATAAAGGGATGGGTATTTATCCATACACAAAGTTTTCATGGGGACAGGGGTGGGAGAGAGTGGGGGGAAAAGGTGTTAGGTGGAAAGGACCATGTATTTTAGAAATAGCGGTACTACGAATGTGATGTAATTTCCAAATTGCTTCTAGAAAGGACTAAAATCAATCAGTTTATTCTGTTGGTAATTACTGGAAGTCGTAGAAATCAGTGACCATAGAGCAAAATTTTTTTCTCTTTATTGAAATTGGGTGGAAAGCTTCTTTTCTGCAAGCTATTGTACACAAAAAGGAAGAGTTCTTAGCCTCTTTTATGAAGTGGGCTGTTTTCTGATTTTTCACTTTTTTACTTGAAGCTTGCCTATTTCAAAAGTATTTTAAGCTAAATATAACATGGTATTTTGATTTTTTTCTTTTAATTCATCTCTTTTATGGAATGTAAGTTTTGTTTTTTTGTTTTTCTTTTTAATAATGGAAATTCATTACATTATATAGGCCTAGCACATCCAAGTCACAATCAGCTAATGCTGAATTCGGAGATGTTTGTAACATTCAGATCAGAGTTTTCTGGCCAGCGTTTCCTGTTGTGTATGGTGAATTGATTAAATGTAAAGTTTGAAATCTGAAATGACTAATGCAAATAGTTTATTTTGCTGACATCCAGTTCTGCCCTTTTGTGTCATACGGGAAGGTGAATCTGGACTGTTAGAGATATCTGCTTAACAGAAAGGGAAGTTTTGACAGCTATGGAATGATTCAGTGCAAGACTGGCATCTATATTTAGGTGCCTAAATGCAGCTGCCTGTGCATGATCTAGGTGTTTAATCTCCCGTTAAGGTCAAATGTGATTTAGTTAGTATTTTCAGAGGAGTTCTGTCTAAAGTATCTATCTAACTTTGGTCATCTGAAATAGCTACACAGCCTTGAATGCCTGTATTTACCACTAGATATCCACTGACTATATCAGGAGTTAAAATGCCTTGCTCACATGTAGAACCTCACTTTAGGTGTCTTTATGTACAGACTGAATCTGTGGATGTAACATCCTGTGTTTCTGCATATCGTGTCAAGATATTTCATTAAGGTACTAAAAACACTACTGATTTTGTTCATAGAGCTAGAAGGGCCCTTTTGTTATGTGAACTAAAATGGTAAGTGATGTGTGCAGTTGAGTTTGGTTAAGTACTCTTTGATGAACTACTTGAAATATTTGAGTTTGGATATTTTGTTCATATGCTTGTATGAATGGTGTAGAATATTTACTAAAATTTGATTTTACACTTTTTCCCTTAAAAAGAGTTTGGAAAAATACGCAGAGTGGTCAGAACAAGCTTTCTGAGAGTACTGAGGATGAGTACTGAAAAATGAACAGGGCTGTAGCTAGAGCACAGATTTTAATTATTCCAGTTCTGTAGTACTGGCTTTCAGGGTAAGTATTGCTACGGGTTTGCTCATTTTTTTATTTAATCATTTTAAGGTGCTTCTTGACCTATATTTATGCATATTATTATTTGATTTTGTGCTTTCTAACAAAATCCTACCACAGGGAGACATTTTATTCTGTGTTCCGTATGAAATAATTTACTAAATATGTATTAAAAGCAAGCTAAATACATAATTGCAGTTTACACTTTATTTCCTCAAATCCACATGCTCAGAAGAGAGATTGAATGATTGAAGAGAAATGATTTGAGACTCAGAATTAAATATTATATGTGATAGAACTAAATTGAAATGCAAAATAAGGGCGTTTTTCCATTTATATTCCTGCCGGTTTTCCTGTTATATCCTTGGGGGACTCCTTCCCATCAAAAAACACCGCTTGCTGACTTTGAACGTGTTTTGCTGAGCAGTTCTATTAATTTAAACTCCTCTCTTTTGAATAGTTCCATGTTATTGGTCAACAGTTTGATTGCTAATACATTACCACATATAAAAGGAACTTTTAATACCTTTAGGGAGTTGAAAGGAGTTTTAAATTTCACATAAATGAACCCAAATTAAGGAGGTGCATGCAAAGCTTGAATTTGTATTTTGTTTTTCATTCTAAATGTCTAAATTGGTAAGTTGTTCTCTCTAGTGATTAGTCATCATCTAAATGAGCATTTTGTAATTTGTATCTGTGAAACATTGTATTAATGGACTCCTTTTTTGGCAGTGCTTTACTATGATGGAGAAAATTGTCCTGCTTTTTTCTTAAGAATTTTTTTACAGATAATTGTACTGTAATTGCTAAGACCTGTGTTTTCTGCCTGTGTGTCTGTTTGATTTAATGACTTCCTGTTATCTCTTTCTACTACTCTGCAGATCATTTGTCAGGGGATTTGCATCAGTATATCTGGAACTCTTTGTTTTTTGACATAAAAGGATGCTCAATGTTTTTACAGTAACCAAAGTCACCCTTAAGCCAGTTAGATGAACATGTAACCATGACTGGCTATATACATTGAATTAAGTTCTTGCTAAGATGAGAAAAATAAGTAATATCTACTTAGAAAAAAAATGTAAATTCAGTGACAGGTTTTTGTATCTTTGGTCCTACAGAGAGTGGTTCTTTAGTAACTGGGACCCCCACGAGTGCATTTATGTCAGTTACTGCTGGACCATTCTCTATAGGACCAGGAGTATCAAAACTTGTCATATGATTTCCATTTTTTAATTAAAGTGGGAATTACTTATTCATCCTGCATTAGGAATTAACAGATCTGCACAATAGCCTGTATTTACCTTCAGCAGCATATTTTAGGAAGTGCACTATTAGAATTTCCCCACCCTAACTTTAATTTGCACGTCAAATTTTGTTCTCTCAGGTTCTTGAAAAAGTGCCATTAAGTAGTGCTTTGTCACTACATCTGAGAACATATGTTTTGTAGCTTCCCTCCAGAAATCGTTTACCATGTGAGAAGGTGAAGCGTCATACCTGCCAGGCTGGCAAGGGGAGGACAGAACTCTGCTTTCAATCACACCGCCACCTGTCAGCATGAATAAATATGTCAAAGACCTGATCAAAATCAGAGTAGTTAACACCAATGCAATTTATTTCCCTAATGCGTGGAAAAGAACAGTTACCAAGCAAATTAAAATAACGAGGACCTCTAGAAACACAAGACACTACTGCAGACCCTCGAAGCACTAAGTCACCTGTGAAATTCTAGGAGAGACTCATCTTCATGTTGACATGCATTTATGAGGAGGGTAATACCGAACTAACTTGGTTGTTGGATTTGCTATAATCTTTTTAATTTGGTTGTTGGATTTGCTATAGTCTTTTTATGGTGTCATTGCATTATTTGAACTCTGCATAACAGTCAGTGGGTAAGGAACTTCACGAGTGCCGATCAGTGGTTAAATCATCTGCTAGTGTGAAGTTGTTTTGAGGAAAGACAGGTTCCTGGCTTTTCTAAGCACACAGGGAAGGGGAGAACATAGGTAGAATTAAGCATAGCAGCTATCTCGGTTGTACCTCTGGTGTTATTTTAATTTTTTGAGAACTGCGTACTAAAGGACTCTTAGTCAAGTCTTAGTGTAAAAGTGTGCAGGTCTTGTTGTCAGTGAAGTAGTATCAAGGAACACACTATGCTTTCTAGTGTAATGCATCTTAGCTTTCGTACGCTTGTGATAAGTCATGTCAAGTTAAATGAATTTTAACAAATCTTCAAGAAATCTGGGGGCATGTTTGAAGCTCAGATTTTTTTTCCCCACTCTGCATCTAGTTCTTTTTGACCTTACAAATTTGCAAGTGTTTGTGATACAGTTTATTTTTAATGTAAAAATATGAATAACGAATTTTAATGAATAAAAAGCAATGCAAATATTTTTTCATGAAACTAGATGTGATATAGCCTTCTTAGTTGTGGGCATGTTCTCAGTCCGCTACTCGACAAAGTTATAAAAAAGCCTCTTGAGCAGAGTATTTTTCAGCCATGAGTGTAAATGACCAAGGGAAAGGGTTAAAAGTGTAGTCTGAAAAACAGCAAGGGCAAAGCATACATATGACCGACAAAACAGGACAATCTGAGGAGAGCAAAGCGCAAGACTAGTAAGGTAAAGACCTGGCATTCATTGTGTTTTTTACTTTGGGCCATGAATATCTCCTTGGAGGTGTTCAGAACTCTCCTGGACAAGGCCCTGAGCAACGTGACCTAACTTCAAAGTTGGCCTTGCTTTGAGCGGGGGAGTTGGATCAAATGGCCTTTCAGGATCCCTTGCAATTAAACTATTCTGTTATCCCATGTGAGAAAGAGAGGTGGTAGATACGGAACTAACTTTTGCTTGCAAAAACAGCAGTAACTAAGCTGCAAGACTGCTAATACTGTAAGTTGTTACAGAGAGAAACAATTAAGTGATTGTCAGGTTTCTGATACAGATGCATCTTCCTGGTGGAAGAAAGAAGGAAAAAAGTATCTCTTCTGCAGCCTGCCTTGTACAAGAGGAATCAAGAATCAATTGTAGTTAATTTTTGTGAGTGTTGTTCTAGATTACCCTTTCCCCTAAATAAATGGGGTTCTAGCTGATTTTACTTTATACGAGGTTCGACAGAAGGTAGAAATAATTTATCTAATGCGTGTTAGTCTTCGTCATGTATTATTTCTGTTACCTTTTAGTTATTGATAACTTTCTCTTGTAAGTTATTTCTAGCACTGAAATTGAACGTGTAGAAGGAAAAATGGATCCTTTGCTTTGGCCGTCAGAAACTAACAGCTTTCGACGTTTCACTCCTGAGTCCCTGACAGCAATTGAGAAAAGAATTGCTGAGAAAAAAAATAGACAAACCAAAGATAAGGAGGAGAGTCAACAAGTTGAAGAAGATCAACTTAATCCGCAACTGGATCTGAAAGCATGCAAAAAACTACCGTCTCTCTATGGGGATCTTCCTGAGGAGTATATTGGGGAACCCCTGGAAGATTTTGATCCATACTACAGTGACCATAAGGTTAAAACCTTCAGAAGTGTTTTTTCTTTAATTTTTTATGCTAAAGTCTTGATAAAAATGGCTGTATGCAGAGAATTCTGTTTTTTATTCTTCTGTAGACAGATCTTAGAACATTACTAGCATTTGCTGAGTGAGGAGTATTAAGGTATACTCCACATTATATAATGAGAAGGTATTTTACATCCCACTCTACAAAGAGTTTTAATTATGAACACTCTACAAAGAGTTTTAATTATGAAAATATGATACACTTTTATGGAAAACATATTCTGACATAACTGACGTTTTGTTATTTGGGGCAGCTTTCTCTCTATGAAGTCTGTGGAGCTGAACTCACTTTTGTAAAAACGGTGCCTGTCAAACAGTAGATCAAACTACTAAATTTCAAACATTGAAATTGCTGGCAGAGTGCTGATACTTTTACTGAATTACAAGTTAGGAGACACATATTGGAAATATTTCCAGTGCTCCGTGTAATAAAAAGATAAAATTTCCTTAGGAAAAGTACATTAATTTTATATTATTTGATAATGTCTCATCAGCTTCGCTTATTGTACTTTATTTGTATGGTTTATATCCCATGCTATTGCAAAGTGTTTTGTGTTATGTTGTCTATGGGAGTGTGTAAAGTAAGTGCTTTAGGAATCCTTTCAGAATTTAACTTCTATTGTAGAACTGCTTACTACTGAAGGGGACTTGAGCTGAAGAGTGAAAGGTTCCATCCGGTCTGGTTTTTATTTGACAGCAAAAGTTAATGGAATATAATCATTTTCTTTTCACGTTGTTAGGATGGTGGTCTTGATAAGAGAAACTGAGGCTGATTCAGTTGAAGGCGTTTTCATAAATGTTAGTGAACACTGTTTTTAATTTAAGAGATTACATTTTTACTTCATCTGGCAACAGTCCTGGACAGTAATGGACCTTAAGATAGTTTACTTGGAATTTACAGAGCTACTTGATAATTTAGAGATGTTTCAAAATGAAAATTCCTACTTTGAGCTGACTGGATTCTGGCAGTATTAACTTTTTAAGTAAACCTTTTGTAGCCTATGAAATGATCCAAGAGTAAGGTACCTCTAAGTAAGATTGACACCAGTATGACAGTCCCAAAATAGTATCCTTTAATTACTTTGACCAAGTGAATGTGAGCGTTTGGCCAGTACTCACCTCCTGTTCCTACTTCCTCCTCACAGAAAATATAAACTTACATGTAGCTAATGTGTTTCGTTCAATATGTAATATCATTAGGTCTCAGCTGCAAGTAAGGATACAAGAAAGCTGTACTCGTAAACACAATTAGATACAGTTCTAGGTGAAGATTTCAAAAAGTTACTATTTAATTTTGGGGGAAATTTTTGTTTCACGACAATGTTTCATATACTATGAATCTTTTGTTCATAGACTTTCATGGTGCTAAATAAAAGGAGGACTATCTTCCGGTTTACTGCTATGCCTGCTTTGTTTATACTTGGTCCTTTTAATCCAGTGAGAAAAGCAGCAATTAAAATTCTGATCCATTCATATCCTTTATTGGTTTCCATTATTTAAATTTTAAAATATACTCTACTATTTTCTGTTGTTTTGTTCCTCTGTTCCTGCTAAGCTAAAGGTAAGCTCCTGTGGCTATGATATTGAGACTTTTTTAAAAGATATATTGAATCTTGTTTTATAACAGCAAGGATATTTACATGTGATTGCTACAAGTAAAAATGTTAAAATGCTCATATTTGAACAGTCAGATTTGCTGATATTGTTATGAAACAACATTTAGCAGCTTCTGTATGTTATTTTAGCCCTTTTCCAGAACTTTTTCTAAATCTCTATTGTGGTGAGCAATTTAAATTTTCAGTTAAAAAAAAAGGAATCTCTAGGTATTAAAAACATTAGGGAATGTAAATGACAACAATGCTTTACTGAAAGTTTCTGGTGTTAGGCTAAGAAAGTTATTTCAAACTCAAATTCGAACAGCTCTGAAGGCTCCCTTTTTTATATTTTTGCAGAAATATCAGCATAGATTTAAAGAATGTAAAAATGCAAGAGTTAGTTTTGTGGGTGCAAAACTGTATGCTTTGTGGTTTCTGCTCTTTCTGCCAAATATCTGCTTTCATTGGGGTTTATTAATTTGTAGAGATAGATCCAGTTATGAGGGAAGGAATTAGAAGGAGATTCTGGCGGACTTTAAATGCATATTTGTGCTGTTAGAAATTGCAAAATTTGCTATTTAATTCAAAATTAGTCCTAAAATTAAGGCCATTACTAGAAAAGTAGTTATTCAAATATCTGGCGTTTTTGTGTGTGTGTGTGTAAATTAACAAGTTTTCTGAACTTTATTCTTTTAAAATAGAGCACGTTTTCCTTAACTTATATTCACATTCTTTGTTGGGTTTATTACATGTACTGTGGTACTCAATTGTGCTTCTATGACTGCATCTACCCTTCCAGTAGGGCTCAACTGGACTGAGTAAGTATCTCAATTGCTGTTGGTTCACTCTTCCTTCAAGGAGACTAACATGCTGTACTGAAAGGTTAAATAATTTGACCATCTAATTCTGAGGTTTGAAAAAAATCAAAAAGACCTCTGAGGAAATATTGAGGATTATGGTTATATAACCCAGTCTTCCTGTGGAACTTCATTGTCTTTTCTTAGAGGAGTACACCATATTCCCTTTTCTCTGAGTTGATTGACTTTACCATCTGGAGTAACATAGAAGGTGGTGTATTTTTCCTTTTAGGGATTAAGCTTTTTGGAGAGGCTGTGAAGCAGGATTCTTAATTTTTAAAATCTCTCATACTGAGGGAGTAACCTGCATATCTGTTATGGCCAGCTCGTGCAAAAAGTTTAAAGAGGCAAATATTCGCTGTATCCCTTCTTGCTGTTTTCTGGGGACAGTCCCAATTCTGTTCTTTGCACTAGGAAACCATCTATTTAAAATGCCATATTACCTTCTGTCATGGTGCACTTTGTCCTGTATAACTTGGGTTAATGTTCTGGAATTAAATGTTGAAAATTTGCCTGTGGCATCAGAGGTGTCATAATTTTATTTCTCATATTTTGGGGTAAGTACAGGGGTAATGATAGCTTGGTTATGTAGGATTTCTTCTGGTTATACAGTGCTTGTTAGACTAAATATATAAAATGTGCAATGCTTTCAGGCGATGCACGAAAAAAAAAGCTATGCTGTTGTTATTCTGCCATAATGTTGAAGCTTTGAAAAATTTCAGTGTGCTTTAGAACATAAAGACAATCTTTCAAAACTTTTCATAAAGAAATGTGAGCTGTTCTTCATCCAGATGTGGTATACTCATGTGAACATCCTACTAAAATTGTACATGGAAATCCTACTAAAATTCAGGAAGGCATCCTTTTACACCCATGATGCTTCTGAAAGTTTTATATAAAACTATATATATTTATACATATATATCCTATCCAATTGTACTTTGCATTTTCTACCTTCATCTCCATTCAGTGAGTAAATAATATAAAAGGTAGAAGGTGCCTGAACTCAATCACATTCATATTTTTATTTCTATCACTTTCACATATACTTTCCTTCTCAGACATCTTTTTACTGGGATTTATACTGGTGAAATACTGATAAAAGTATTAGCAAGAGGATTTGTTTGGGATGAATTTACATTTCTTCGAGACCCGTGGAACTGCTTGGATTTTTTTGTCATTATTGTAACGTAAGTAAAACTCGGTTGTTCTTTTTTCCCTCCTCAAGGGAAAAACATGCAAATAAAATACTGTTTGATACTGCTAAAGTTTTTTTACAGTGGTTGATATACCACCTGCTTAAGAGTTACTGCATTTGAATCACTGTACCCTTGCATATCTGCTGTCTGAAGAGACAAAAATAGTGATAGACCTTAAAACAAGACCTAAATGCAAAGGCCATCTCTTTGAGTTAGCTTTCATTTGCTGAATTTCTTCATGTGTGGATTATTACAGTTGATACAGCTGTGTGGTTGTTCTCAATTTACTATGTGTTTAATTTTTGCTAAGAGGTGCCTGCACAGGCAGCCAAAACCAAGCATGCCTCTCTATGTTGTTGTAGCTGTTGCGCTGTGGGTCAATTGAAACGCGTTTGGGAGGGATCCAAAGAGGACTGCAAGGTGCTGAGTGGTGTGGTGATAAATAGCTGATGAAATTCCAAGAATGTAAAGTGCTTATACTCGAGGAAGAACAGACAAAGTTTTACGTACATAGTTATGGGCTCTAAAATAGCTATTACCTGTTGGGAAAAATATTTTGGAGTTAAAATAGATAATCTTGTGAAAACACCAGCTCAGTGTGCAATAATGGTCAGAGATGCAAATAGAAAATTAGGAACCTATGGATAATAATTAGAGAAGAAAGAAGAACGCATGGTTATTTCACTGTAGAAATCTGGTTTGTCTTTTTCTTCGGGACTGTATGTAGTTTTGTTCCTCTAGAAACAAAAAGAGTGACAAGACATGTAAACGTACATCTTGTATTCCATGTGATGTGAAACTAAATAAGGAGGACTCTCTCATAAGGAAACAGAACAGGAAAATGGTAAAAGTGTGTAGCACAGAGACAAAAAGAATAAGTCTTTTTTTTTTCCTTAGATCTAAAGGCACCAAATGAAGTTGTCAAATAACAGAGTCAAAACAAAGAAAAGGGTGTAGTTTTTCACACTATATGAGAATTGCCCTAGGAGAATCCTGTTGTGGATGCAAACAGCATATTTTCATTCAGAAGGTTTCTGAACAAAAATCATGGATGAAAATGCATTAAGGGGTATTTTTAACATGAAGACACTGCATCATATTCAGAAAGTCCTTGAGGTGTAAATTTGCTGGAAGGATATATGGGCCTTGGTAACGATATGATTGCCTTGATTTTAAACTCTTCTGTAAGTATCTGTTATGGGCCATTCTTGAAGACAGGACAATAGGCCAGATGGATCATTGCTCTGTGACTCACTTTGGTCGTTTTTAAGTTCGTATGAGAGTAATGAGGAGCTAGCTCCTTCTTTTAAATACCTGAGAGGTAGACAAGTAAGGAAGAAAGTCAGAATTTGCATCCTCAACACAGAATGAGAATCTTCAAAGCAACATAGCCTTGCTTGCAGCAGCAAACATTCACTCAAAACAAATCTCTGCCATGTGACATTGCTGAATATTCTCCATTTGAAGAATTGCGTTGTTCTAATTTGTTAGAGTTAGAGTAATTTAGGTTGAAAGGGACCTCTGGAGATCATGTGATCCAACTCAAGGCAGGGTCAATTTAAATTAGGTTGCTCAGGGTCTTGTCCAGTCAGGTTCAGAATATCTCCATTGATGAAGATTCAACAGCTTCTCTGGGCGACCCGTTCCAGTATTTATCCACCCTCACTGTGATTTCCCCCAGCAGTATCTAATTGGAATATCTGTTTTTGCAACTTAACTTGTATCTACTGCCTCTTATCCTTTCATTGTGGGCTTCCAAGAACAGTCTGGCTCCATCGTCTCTAAATTCTTACATTAATCAGCTGAAGACAGCGGTACGTTTCTTAGCCTTCTCTTCTTCAGACTAACCAAACCCAGTTCCTCAGCTTAGCCATTTTATTATCTCATTGTCTTACTTGGCCCCCTTACATCCCCAGCTAGACTTTCTTCAGTATGTTAGTGTCTGTCTTTGATTTGGGAGGCCAAAGCTGGACACAGTACTCCAGATTAAATCTCACAAGTGGTAAACAGAAGGAAAGAATCACTTTCCTCAATGTACAGGGCGGACTCACGATAAAACAGCCCAGTATGTGGCAGGCCGCCTTTGTTGGAAGGATGCTCGGTGTAATCATGTTCAGCTTGTCGACCCTGACCCCCAGGTCCTTTTCTGCAAAGCGGATTCCCATGGGATCCTGCCAAGAAGATCCCTGAACTCACTGAAATCTGCTGTCCTGAAACCCAGGATTTTAATGATACTATTTATTTTGCTCACTTCCCTCAGGGTCCTCAACTCCACTATCTCATGCCCTCTATAACAAAATTGCCATCAGCTGCTATATCCCCAACTGGTTCTTCCTTATTTATGAGTAACAGGCCCAGCAGAGTGCTTACTCTGTCAGATTGTCAATCTTCTATGTCAAAAACTGATTTTACAAGATGCTTTAGAGTTTGGAAGCCTTCAGATGTCTTTTGGTGCTTATGCTTTAAGAAATCATTGTGCGAATCAGTTTCAGTACTGTTATATACTCAGATCCAATACATACATACATATGTATGTGAACAAAGTATTCTTATGGGTAATCTGTAATCCACTAAGGAATTTACATTGAAGAAATGAACACATTGTTAATCATCGGTAACTCTCAAGTAGTCCAACAGCAATATAAACAACTTCATTTTGCCTTCTTGCTTCCCTACCCATACTTGTAATTCATTTTTCATTTGTTTTCAAGGCAGGCATAAGTGCTTTGCAATGCAGTATCTGCTTCTGTTTTTTGGGTCCTATCATGCTACAAATAAAAGTATTTGGAAGTTAATTCAACAGAACAGTTTTCTCTTTAAGTAATTTATGATTATTTAATCTTACAAGCTAGACAAAGCCATAGTGGTGTGATCTAATGCTGATGAAAGTCACACTTTGAGTGGGAAGTTGCCCAGATGACCTCCAGAGAGAGTTTCCTTCCAATCAACATTTCTGTGATTCTGTTATTGAGACTTCTTATTGAGACTTCTTATTTTAAGGAATTCTGTTACCATTTATGACCTTATTATAAAAGAAGTCACAATTAATGTCCATTCTCAGAGGTAGGAAGTCTTATAAAACTGGGGGTAACCAGTTATAGGTAATGTTTTCTATGGAATTTGCAGCCTTTAAAATCTTCATTTTCTGAAACGCCACGTGGTCCAGAATTAACATATTGTAAACCAGTTTTACTCAACTCCCTACCCCTAAACTATATATTCTACAATTGTAGAAGACACTTACAATATACACTTTCATGTTGTGTTTTGAATTCCATCATCTTGGGGTTGAAAGGACATGGTTATGACGTTGAAGGTTTTGTATCAAGATGACATTTTGATGGATAAACACTTTCAAATGTTTCAACATCCAAATACACACTGAGTAAAACCTCCTTTTTTTTCTTTTCAGAAGCACTGTTCAAAGGTCCCCGTATTTTATATCATTTCCTAGAAATGGACTTAGATTCCGAACTTTAGATATCTCCCACTGGATGAAAGTTTGACCTATTTCTCTTTTGTAACTGGTCTACTACCATATCCTCTATATGCATACGCTCTGAAAAGTTCAATCTTTGTCATTCAGCTATATGGTGATTTAATTTTATAGGTATATTAGTATCTGTACACCATTGGGCAATGTTTCAGCTCTTCGGACTTTCAGAGTACTGAGGACTTTGAAAGCTATTTCAGTAATACCAGGTAAGAAGAAACATGCTTTATGAATTTTCTCTCAACTTCAGCAGTACGCTCTCCAATATTTTTTCTGTTCCTTTGTTCAAGTGTCTTCTCACTTTTTGTGGCTGCAACAGGATCCTAAGTTATCACCGTGTTTTGTGGTCTGTAATTACTTTCAGCAGCATCCTAACAGAATCTTTTTTACCATCCTTCATCAAAATTATTTTGACCTAAGCACATCTTTATATTTTTTGCTTTTTCTATCCCGTTACTAGTGTTCAATGTTATTTACCGCAGTGCCCTTGGTCTTTTGCTTTCTGTCTTTCCTGAGCAGTGCACACTATCCAAAACCTAGTCTTCCCATCATGATTGATATTCTAGTATGTTTCTGATTTTACATTTCATGTTGTTCACTTCAGCTTCTATGGTTTATGTCCCAAACTCATGGCTTCACAATATTTCAGAGTGTTGTTTATTTACTGACTGCAGCCACTAGCTACATTAAGCATAATTGTTTCGTCAACAGTATTTCACATATTGAAGTGTTTGGGTATGCTGTCCAGATTTTTGGTGTTCTTCTAAGCCATGCCGTTAATTTAGATACCAAAATATGGATTTTAGAATCTAACTTTAGAAACTCATTTGAAAACCTAAAAACAAGACTGTATATCGCATAGCCATAATTAATGTAGTATTAACTGTCTGTGTCACTTCCCTGTTACTACAAATACATTTTTGATTTTGCTTTGGAATTTTAACAGGAGTGCTTAGTTTTTAATATCAAAATCATCTGTCTACAGTTTTTCTTTCATATTCGCCATGGAGAACAGAGATTAATTTTATTTTTCACCGTGTGAAGACAGATATTTAGGCAGTAAAGTTCCTACACCCAGTAAAAGCAACCTTTTGTGCTTGAACATCAAATGATAAAATAAATGATAAGAAACAAATTATTACGGTTTTGTTTTTACAAATCCTCACTACACTTTTCATTAGTTTTACTGACAACGAGACTGTTCTGCATTGATTTAATGTAATATATCCATATAGTGTTGTATTTAAGGGTGGATCCGCTTTACTGTCAGAATTGCAACAAATGCGCTCATCTGATAGCTTCTCCTTCCATTTGCCTGGATGGAGAGAATAAAAAATAAATAAAATTGAATCCAAAATATAATGAATGGATATATATGCACTCAATCACAAACATCTCAAAAGCTTTGTATAATAAATAGTATTTTGCTATTGTCTGTTACAAATAATAAAGAGGTTTTTGAACTGTACAGGTAGCCCTTATTCTCAGTGTACACACAGAACCCCTAAAAAGCATCTGTTAGAAGGATTCCGGGTAGCCCTACCTATGTCATATGTCAGATTCAGTTTTTCTGCCTGAGTGTTGGTCTCTGGCTTATATATCACCCCTTTTACCATCCCTATGTCAAAAAAGTTCTTTTCTTTTTAAACTAGTGACCCTGTAAGGTATAATCTTCTAAGATAGAATGCCCTGAGGTTGGCACAAGGTATCCTTTATTGTAATGTCTGTTCAACAAAATGTGAAGTACTTGCTTAATGTTAGCCATGCACAAAAATCTGTCCATGTTCTTCAAAACTCTTAAGAGTTTGCTTAGATGGCATCTTAAACTAGAATTTTCAAGTATGCAAGATCAGTGGTAGAAGGAAGTAAAAGTCAAATAAATTATCACTAGGAAATTAAAGTAAAATTACTTTACTCCTAGGTTTCGTGTTACCTTGTTTAATATTGTGAAGTTGCAAAACTATTTACGCTGATTGTTCTTGACATACTTGCAACTGTGGTACATTGTCTTATGGGAATACTACTGCATTCCTCTTCTGAATCTGGATATTCTTGGATCTTATTTTTCTAGGTCTGAAGGTCATCGTAAATTCGCTTGTTGAATCTGTTAAGAAACTTACTGATGTGTTGATCCTGACTATTTTTTGCTTGAGTATATTTGCTTTAATAGGCCTTCAGCTTTTTATGGGCAATTTAAAATACAAATGTGTCCTCAATAATTCCACATATAATGATACACTGTGTAAGGATGCTAAGATCTATGTCCCAAGTAATGAAGGTAAATTTTATTTTGTCCCTTTACATAAATTGTGTAACTTTCTGTATATGTCTTGATTTTCACAGACAGATGACAAAGTATATTTACGTAAATCTCTGATAGTAAGGTATGTCCTTGCATTTGGCCAAGTAATAATGTGAAGTCTTTGGGGCAATTGCATATGTGATTAATGAATCTGGGACTTTGGGAAAGGTTAGAGGTTTATGAGATAAAAGGAACTGGGTTTTCTGCAAGGCATTTCCTTCTTTACCTGGACAAATTGCCCTGGGATCCAAATGTTAGAGGTCATGCACACAGAATGGCTTTTTCCGTGACATAAGCTGTATCTTGTAGAGATATTGCCTATTTCTGGCAGACGTTCCTATTTTCACCTGAGATCAGATAAGGTCTTACATTATGAATTATGCCATTAATAATGAATTTTCAAAACGGGGACAGATCTTTTGGTGAGAAATGGAGCCCTATATACCCTTTGTTGTAAAAGTAATCTTTCACAGAGATTTAGTGTGTCAGACTGGTTTTTAGAGTGCTGTAATGTATGGCTTACTCCCTCTATGCAGTAGGAACTTGAGTATGTGAACAGTAACTGGTAACCTGGAAAAGTTAAGGATGACAACTTGTGATTTTATGATCCCTTGTTTTTTTTTTGAATAGATATCTGCTACAGAATGAATAAATCTTCTGAAATATTGCTCTGTGGGTTCAGTTCGAATCCTCAGTAAGTGAATAATACATTTTTTTTTATTTTTTTTTTCCACAAAATTTACTTTGGTTTTATTTTTGCACTGCTGAAGGAATGCTGTTGATTTTTCAGGAGGGTGGAATGTGCTTGTTTTTTAACAAATAAAAAATAGATATTTTACTTCAGGGAAGGAATGAAGTAAAATACTGGGATGCGGATGTGTACGTGCCTTGCTGCTGAACGTTAGTAGTTTAATGATAACGTAGAATGATATAAAGGTGAAGGGGAAGAGATCAGTGGAGAGCTGTGGGATATTAATAAACTCCTTTCCTCTCTGTCAGTTTTTGAAAAGTAAACGTTTGATCACTCCTTCCACAAACATATTCAAATTCTATACACATTTCCGTTATTTTCCTCTGTGTATTTGTTTGCGTATACCCCACATTAGTGGAGAGTTTCTTTGTAATCAGACTATATCATGAATCTTGGACTCGTCAAATGACTTTATGGGATATCTGATATAAATCTGCCCTTGTGGCAGAATTAGATTGGAAAAGAAAGAAGTGGACTTTCAGATGAACTAACCAAATCTATATTGAGATTGTGTAGTGGACCCTTTCAGATACTGTTTGATAATGCAAAGGTAAATTATATACATTGCTTAACATTTCTTCTACGCTTAGCGAAGAGTGCCCAGAAAACTATAGCTGCTTGAAGATTGGGAAGAATCCTGACTTTGGGTACACAAGTTTTGATCATTTTGGCTGGGCCTTCCTCTCCTTATTCCGTCTGATGACACAAGATTACTGGGAGCGTCTCTACAGACAAGTAGGTACTTTTAATACCTGCTAGAATGACCTTAGACATGCATTCTACACCTTTATGTCCACCACAAGAATCTACATCTTTTAAATATTACTGATACTAAATTTGTTTTAAAAACAATATAAATATTATGGAAGTTTCAGGTGGCTAAATCAGAACAACCTCTGCAAATGACATTGTGTGAGAGCAGTATTACCATGAATCACAGGGTGGAACAGATGCTGTAGGCAGTGAAAAGTCCTCATATTGCTCTCCATCTTTAGTCGCATCTGATCAGTGTTCCAACTGATGAGTGTTTCCATGCAATATAAGATCACAAAGATGGGCAGATGGCATGACAAATTTTGACTGTTGTCATCTGTGGTCCCAGAAGATTAAGAATCTTTTTCTCATGTTAATGGGCTGAATAACCTGCTTACATGATCAGAAAAGTTTATAGATTAAGGAGCTAAAAGGTTTTATTGAACAACACTCTTTGGTCAATAATTAGTGGTTAAATATTTTAATCAAGTAATTACCAAAGGGTATGGTTAAATAGCAGGTCCATTTAGTCAACTCACTGCTGCTGCAGGGCCTATGAATCCTTATGTACTGTGTTTCTCACCTTTTCGATCCTAACTCCTCACCAAAGTTTTTGGCTCGGAACATAGACGCTTCCGTTTCAGACCATTTTTTGACAAGTGAGACTAAACAAGTGAAGCACTTTTTTTGTTCTGGTTCAGGAAGTTGAATGCAACTTTCAAATTCTGACTTTTGACAAAAGTTATACAAAAATTGTATGTAGCAAACTCTCTGGAGCTCTTATCTCATTGCAATGCTTATGCTAGAAAGGAATTATCCTCTACCTTATTCTGGAGCTTTCATAGAGTCCACTTTAAGTTTTTTTTCTGTGACCTTCTGAGATTTTTTTTTTTAATGGATACATCATCTTTCTGCTATTTTGAGGTCAAGTAGCTTTTGTTTTTCAATGTCTTACAGCTTAATTTTGAGCGGTCTATTCTATTGTCTTGTAAAAAAATTGTTAATTCTTATTCACTAATTATAGTGTCTTTCAGGATTATTTAAATAATTCTAGCTCTCCTCCATTTAAGGAGTTTTGTTACTTTCTTCCATAGTCACATGAATATCTCTTTACAGCTAAAGTTATCTTCTCATAACTTGAACTCTGATGATTACTTTCCTGATTTGCTGAGAAATGCTTCATTTAATTTTAAGAGTGGTTTTTGTTCGTTCTTCTGAATTGCACCTGGCATCATTATGAATGGTAGGTGGTCTGATACCTAAGGAGAAAAATACTGTATGAACACAAAGAAATTCTTAAGATCTGAAATTTGTTTACTTGAAGGCCAAAGGAAACCCTGACTAGATGTATTTCCAGACCTCCTGTATAACCTAGACCAGAGGTATGTCCTGTGGTTTAAAGAAAACAGTGCAGTATGTTTCCCTTTTTCAGATTCTATTGTAAAACTTTAGGTTTTTTAAGAATCTCTTGCAACCTTTACTCTTTCTTCACAGACTATCCGTACATCTGGAAAGAACTACATTTTATTTTTTCTGGGGGTCATCTTTTTATGTTCCTTTTATCTCTTCAATCTGATCTTGGCTGTAGTAACTATGGCATATGAAGAGCAAAGTAGAGCCACCCTTGCCGAAACAGAGGCAAAGGAAAAATTACTTCAGGATGCCCAACAAATTCTAGAGAAAGAAAAGGTTTGTAAACTCTTACATGTAATACATAATATGCAGTTCCTGTTGTTCTCTTCTGTCTGTGATTTAAGGAGATAAGGTTCTTGACTAAATACGTACTTTTTACAGTACTTCTCATATTTCACTTCCCTCTCTATACATATATGCGTGTATACATATGTGTGTGTATACACCTATATATGTAATTTACATATAAATATTTCTGCAGTACAAACAAATAGCATCAATTAAATAATGTTAACTTTTAGGTTTTGCAGATCTAACATTGTACAGTGAAACAACAATGGCTTGCAGGCAACTATGTAGCTTTTCTGATATTCACAGGCTCCCACACTCTGTGGGTTGCCCCATGCTTGTATAGTTTGACTATTGCTATGTGCAAGAATTCCTTTCCTTGGGTATAATTATCTCTTTGATATTTCTTCCTAGTCTGATGAGGAAAATATGAGTGGAGAAGTTTACATCCGTAAGAAGAGTTGATATTTCTTCCGTTCTTCCACATCAGAATTTCTAATGTTGATAGATTTCAGGACTGATTAAAGATACAAGCTTTCTGAGAGCCACTGTGCTTAACTATTCAGTGGGCCTCTTTATAAGTAATGAAACTGCATGTGGAAGATGTACCCACTGACAGATGCAGGAATAGTCTTTGTTTAGGCTAATGCCATTGGTTCCATATTAATGTAGAAGGACATCCATAGATTGCATTAATTTCTCTGCTGTTGGCTTAGAAAACTAATCACCTGAGATTTCTGCAGTGTTTCTACTTCTTCTTGTCACAGTACTGCATAGGTCCATTCATTCCTTGTCCTATAAGGAAGCAAGGATCACCTTGTTGCTTTTATTTTGTTCCTGAGATATGGAGACAAGAGCTGAGGTAACAATGTAGATTGATATTTGTTGGTAAGAAATCATTTAGCTTCTTATTCTTTGTAAAAGATACCTCTGGGTTGCTGCTAATGGTCAGAAAAGTCAGTCTTGCAAGAGCACATATGAATACTTTATAGCAAATACGCAATTTCATCATCAAGATGAAAGGCATCATTAGTTAACCAGGTCCTTCCTATGTGACTGTGGGCAGGCCTATGTTTCTCCATCTGAATTCCAGCTTGCTGAACTTTACTTAGGCTTTTCTTCCTTCTATTTTCATTTCTGTGTGATTAGTAGATAAGAAAGCTTTTATATCAGATTATTTTGGAATTTAATTTGAGCTCTTAGTCCTCTGTTTTCTTTGGTTCTCAAGGTCCTTTCCAAAGTAAGGAAAGAGGAGTAGAAGGATATACCTTACTATTCTGAGACTCAAATGCAAAGTGAACTTTAATTATAAAAGCTGATAAGTAATCCTTCTTTATCTTTTAGTATAGTGAGTAGCATTTTGTACTCTGTCTTTTAAGTAGTTTAATATTTGGAAACTGAAAATTGTTAATGCAAAGCAATCAAGCAGCATAATAATTAAATTGTATGTGATCCTAATCCGTTCTCTGGTGTTAGCCTTGTACTAACAGAATTTTTGCTGTTTGTTTTACAGATGATGGCTGGTGGAGAAAGTGATAACACTTTACATGTCAGATCTGAAATGTCAGTTGCTGACTTGAAAATGTTAAAAGAAAAAGAGAATAAGGAAGAAAATCCTATTTCAAGACAAAGCTTAATTTTGAGTGATCAAAGGAAAGAGGAAAATATATTTCACTCTCAGCCTGATCATTGCCAAAAAAAGCTTGTAAGTATTTGAAATATAAGATGTATTCATTTGTTTTAACATATGTTATGACAGTTTGGTAACCAGGAAAGTCTTCCTTATTTGCAAAATGTTTCCCTCTGCCTTCTTGCATGCATTGAATTGACCTCTTTTTTTAAAATCAATTAGATGTTAGAACCAGAGAGAGACAGCGCTATATAGACTTAGAGGGAAAGGGAAATTAGAAGTGGATGTCATTAGCATTCTTACGACATATTACAGACCTGTACGCTTAAAATCGTGTTAAGATTTGCCAGCATCTCTGTTGTCCTGCATAAAAAACATGGTACAAGAAACTGTTAGTGAAACAGTTCTCTGGAGTTCTCTGGAGTATATTCTGCAAAGCTTAAACTACATTTCTGTTCTCCCTAGTGAATGCCTCTACATTCTTTTCATGAAGATTTCCAATTCCAGCTCCAAGTGATTGTTCTGGCTGTAGTGTTACTCAATGTGAATGTACTTACAGATTATCATTTGAAGACAGAAGGATCTATTTATCAATTGCAAGGCTTCTTCAAGATGTCCACCTGTACGTTCACTTCCCCTCACTCCCCTGCATCACAGTTCTCACTTTGTTCTATGGATTTTTGTATTTCATATTTAAAAAAGAAGATACAGAGCATAAAGCAGTATGAGGTGCTCTGATGTAAAATTCTACCATTAGACAAATGTAACATGCAACACAGAGATAGTGGACGTTTGTTTCATGTTATGGCAACTGCTGGCAGTGCACGCTCTGTGACTCTTCAGACAATGTATTCTGTACTTTAATCGCAAAAAGATGTTAGAGGTACCAAGTCACAGAACAAAAAGCATATCAGATCCAAAGCTTTTGATAGGGCATCATCAGTTCCATGATTACTTGAGTGAATTGATTTCTCTAGTGTGTTGATATTTCTGTTTTAACTCCCAATTTGTCAGATGACTTCTCATTGACCCTTTAAATTCAGATAAAGAAAGATGAGCAGTAGTCACCAGTTCAGCGTTGACAGATGCTCTTAACCTTTCCAAAAGCACCACCCATTTTTCAATTCTGAAGGCTTCTGTGCATTTCAACAAGACTTTGAAGACCTTAGACTGGTGGACAACTTTTTACAAGATTTTTCTCCTCTAAGAGACCAAAGATTGTAGAAAGGAATGAGAGGACAAGTTGCGCTGCTAACTGGCATATGATTAGAATAGTCTACTTGGGTCTTTCAGAGTCTGAAAAAAATAAAGGTAGAAAACCAGACATGTTAGCATTGTATTATAAATTCACTTTATATGTCTATTCTATGCCTATGTCTGTTTTATTCACTTAGCTAGGTTTCGCTTAGCTTTTGAAGTCATTAAAATACCAGAGAGACAATAAGAAGTTAATATCATCCACCTAAGGCCAATTATATCAGTTCCATTCCCTGAATAACAGTTTCATAGAGAATGTTCATAAAGATCATGTTATGGTAAAAGTTTGAAGTAGTGATATGGCCTGTCTTTGATTATGTACTCTCTCCACAAAAACAAAATGAAACAAATTATGCTGTTTAGACTGGATGCTTTAAGTGGATACTAATATGCTCTGCATTATGATGTGGCCAATCAGTAACTCCCGGCCAACTGGTGGCTTTAGTAATATCCTCTCTGAAACTTAAGTCTTTGTTCTGTCTGTTCTTCTCTACCTCCGAGTCTCACCTTTTCTTTGCGGTCTGTGTTTTACAAAAAAATTTAAAATGTGTGTTGGGAGGGAGAGTTTAATACGTCCATGAGCTGAATCTTGAATAATAATATAGTGTATTCTATAAGACGCAAGTTTTGACCTGTCTGTTTCTCAGCGCACATCAGGAGCACTGAATGATGTTTAGCAATCTGAAAATTCTTATCAAAAACATAGGTAATCCCATTCTTAGTTTAAAGCTGTTTGCGGTCAGTATAGGCTTAAAAGGGCTCGGCAAACCAATAATTATGATTCAGTAAATAGCTATTGTTAATGTTGACTATTACTTATTATATATTAAATAACAATAGTTAAGTAATCAATAACTGATTCAAACCGATCTTCAGTGTTCATTTCATGTGTTCCTTTTATCAGTCACTGAAAAGATGTAATGATTTTTTTTTTCCTTTGCTCTCCTGTTAATGATTTATATACTTCTTATATAATGGAATAATTATTGTTGTTAAATATTTACAGAAGGAAAAATATTCTTGAAGAATATTATTATTTTTTAGTGACGTGTCCGTTGCCTTCATGTGATATTTTTGTGTTGCTTTGTTTTACACTAAGGTAAAGCTTTGTTACAATATATATAAGGAGGTCCGTTTATATTATGCTGCGTGTAATTTTTATATTAACAAACATTTATCCATATTTGCTTGTTATATTATTTTCTATTGGTTTTATAACCGAAGAGGCAAGTATTACTGTCCTATGAATTGTCAGTGGACTCCATTAATGATCCTTATCGAAGACAGAGGTTAATGAGTGCAGCCACTGTTATTACAGATAATTTAGGTAAGTCACAATTTAGGTTAGTGTTTTTCCTACAGTGATTGTGTAACTTGACCTAAGAGATCAAAATGTCACAATCAGCATTATTTTAAAAGTCACTAGAGGAAATCATGCTGCAAACAAATGAAAATTCTGCTAACAAATAGTCTTCTATCTCACATAACTGCAGTTTTCACTTGATTTTACCGAGGGTAAATCATGCCTAACCAACGTGATTGTTCTGTACAATAAAGTAACTAGTTTTGTGCATGAGGGGCGAGCAGTAGGTGTCATTTCCCTTTACTTTCTTAAGGCTTTCAACACTGTCTCCCACAATATTTTTGTATCCAAGTTAGGATGTTAAGGTCTGGATAGGTGGACAACCAGATGGGCAAAAAAGTAGTTTGACAGTTGGGCTCAGCGAGTCTTGTTAATGGGTCATATTTTACCTGGAGGTCAGTAACAAGTGGAGTACTCCACGGATATATCCTGGGACCTGTCATGTGCTAACATCTTTATCAATGACCTGGAGAAGGCGAGGGAGTGCTTGTTCATGAAGTTTGCAGGTGGCACCAGATTGGGAGGACCACTCAGTACACTTGAGGGCAGAGCTGCCATCCAGAGGGACGTAGACAGCCTATAGGAATGGACTAGCAGGAACATTATGAAATTCAACAAGAACAGTGCAGGTTCTTGCCTCTGGGAAGGATGAAGCCCTTGCAACAATACAGACTAGGGATTACCTAGCTGGGAAGCAGCTCTGTGGAAAATGCTCTGGGGTCCTTGTGGGCAGCAAGCTGAGGATGACGCAGAAGTGTGCCCTGGCAGCAGCAATGGCTAACAGCGCCCTGGACCATATTAAAAGGAACATAGCCAGGTGACTGAGGGAAGGGATTATGGCCCTTTACTCAGCACTTGTTAGACCACATCTAGAATGCTTCCTCCAATTTTGTCTCCCCTGCCACTCCAGTACAAGAAATACATTAATAAACTGGAGCGAGTTCAGTAGATGGCTGCTCAGATGGTTGGGGGCTGGGGCACTTGCTCTGTGAGAAGAGGCAAAGAGAGCTGGACTGGTTCAGCCTGGAGAAGAGAATGTTTTGGAGGGGACATAATAGTAGCCTTCCAGTATGTAGGAGGAGATTATCAAAAAAATGGAGCCAGGCTCTTCTCAGTGGTGTGTGGTGGGAAGATGAGAGGAAATAGGCATAAATTGAAAGAAGAGAATTTCAAACTATATATAAGAACAAGATTTAGCATGAGGACAGACAGTGGAACAAATCTTGCAGTCTCTGACCTCATGGCTGACTCTGCTTTGAACAGAGGGTTAGAGTAGAGACTTCTTGAGGTCCCTTCCAACTTGAATTATCCTACGATCCTGTCCTCAACTATACGACATCAAAATATGGGGAACACAGAAATTATTTGTTTAGAAGTTACTAAAGTTACTTCTTCCATTGGTATAAGAAATTTATCATATAACCTATCTTACTTCAGATGTCTGAGGATCGATATTAATGGTTAGCCACAAGCGTGAAAGAACACCCCCCTTTGTTTTAGCTAGGAATTCTTTTAAAGTCATTCCATATCTGTGACTGCACATATGCAGCTTAGAGAGAGCAGGTTGTCTCTTTTCCTGGAGGCAACTAAGTTCTTTCTCCTTAGTGCAGGTATTTTATTATCCTTAAAACATAAAAAGAGGTGGGTGATAGCAGCTCTCTTTGTAATTATGAGATTTGTTGATGATGACCTTTAAATAGCCTGTGACTAGTTTGTGTAGAACGAATGAAACATAGCTTTATCAATGATATTATTCTGCTCACATGTGTACGTAATTCTTCTTCTTGCTATGAGATTCCACATAAGATAACTTGTATGTCGCTTTGCCCCTTGTCATTTAGAATTGCAGGAGTCAAAACTGAAATGCCCATCATTTCTGAGACGTTTCACTCAAAGGTATCTGATTTGGAGATGTTGCCCATTCTGGCTAGTAGTCAAAGAGAAGGTGAAATTGGTAATACTGGATCCATTTGTTGATCTCTTAATCACGATTTGCATTATGGTGAATACTTTATTCATGGCCCTGGAGTACCCTGGGATGCCACCAGCTTATGCGCGCATGATTTGTATAAGTGACAAGGTAAGTTAGGTCTACTTTAGAGTCAGCATGGAGTTATAACCCCATATTTATAGTGGGATAGTCCCAATGGTAGACATACTCCTTCAGTGACTTCTTTTTTTCCTCTTTCCAGGTCTTCACTTTCATTTTTACAGCAGAAATGGTCTTGAAAATCATCGCTCTAGATCCCTACCACTATTTTCAGCAAAAATGGAATATTTTTGATAGTGTAGTTGTTATGATTGGCCTAATAAGCTTTGAAGAAAATTTGTCTTTTTTCAGGCTGGTAATGATTTCTTTAGTCTTTTTAAGAGAATAGTACATGCTTTTTGTATATTTGTAAAAAAAAATCAGTGAAATACTTTCCCTCAAATTATTTTACTGATGAATCTGTTAAATCAGTACTGTGTGTTGGTGTATAATAAGCCAAAATGAATGTTAAATTAGAATGAATGTTAAATGAATGCTAAAGAATGCATTTGCTATGTTTATCATATTGTGTACACTGGATACTACAAATCCTCTGGCATGGTGCTCCCCCTTGGAGATCTGACCTAGCAGGGAGTTCTCTAGCTCTCTGCTAGCTCTATGCACGAGTGGATATCAACTCCAACATTTCAGATCTTCAATTTGGAAAAGATAATATCTGGGTGCTTTCATGAGTTTAAGCGTACCAAAGGCTCGTTCACAACATGACCTTTCCTTTTGGATTGAGATTTGAAAAATAGCGAAGCTTTCCTCAAGACTTTCTCCTTGTTAGGTAAAAAGAGAAGTAGCTCTGAAATGTCTATGTGTAATGTCAGTTTTTTGCTTCTGCCTTTACTGTGCAATCAAAATTATATATGCTAAATGTACTGATTATTTTAACATTCTTCCTAGCTTTTCAGAGTCAACACACTTAAAAATTCAGATGAATTCTATTTGTTCTTGTAAATTGTAACTGAGATTGTTGACCATCCGTTATGCATATGCAAACCCCTCTGAAGACAGTGGGATGAAAGCTAATTTGACTTTAAAAATCCTTTTTATTCACAAGGATGCATCCCATCTTGCTTTTCAGATCCTTATTTGAGTCTATTGGGTGAGAAGTAGAAAACATTCCTTTTTCATTCATGATCTCACTACATTTGATTTAGTCTAAAACATAGTCATTTGATGAGCTTCTTCTAAGTACCTGTAAGCCACCTGATTAATTTTTTTTTTTATTTACAAATGAACTTATGCATGCTTATATCTAACTGAGCATGTGGAGTTTGACAGCTTCCTCTGGCAGGGCTGTGTTCTCAGTAACATTTACCTTCTGAGTTTGAGTAAGGCACTTCTGGATTACAACTAGCTGGCATGCAGTGCAGGCAGAACAAGCACAGGCATATCAAAATTCGTATTGTAGTCTGATAATCCCAGGGTGTTCATTGCAGACCTGTTAATATCCAGTATTTGAGGCCAAGTTGTGAAGGCGCATTTAAGTGTGGCCTTTTCAGAAGTAAAGGCAGTCTCGTAAATATGGGATCTGTTTTTTACTGTGTGCTGTGCTATATACACCGTGTTCTGCCACTCACATTGTTCTCTTGTGTTTTGTTTACAGATCAGAATCTTCAAATTGGCAAAGTCCTGGCCAGCCTTAAACACTCTGATGAAAATAATTTTAAATTCAGTTGGTGCTCTGGGTAACCTCACTCTAGTTTTGATTATCACTATATTTATTTTTGCTGTAGTAGGAAAGCAGGTTTTAGGCAAATGCTATGAGGAAAACTACCACAGAATAAACATTGACAAGAATTTACGCTGGCATATGAAGGATTTTTTTCATTCATTCCTGATTATATTCCGAATTTTATGTGGTGAATGGATTGAAATGATGTGGGAATGTATGCAAGTGGCTGGAGAAGGGCTGTGTCTTCCCATTTTCTTGCTAGTCCTGATGATAGGAAACCTAGTGGTGAGTCTCAACTATTCTTCTTGTTCTACTGGATGCATCCAGTTACAGTGGCATCTTTTTCTCCTGGGGCAAACATCATTATTTAAAGAGTATTCACACAATTCTTGTTTCTGGGTGTCAGTTTATATTTTTTCTTTTTTTTTCTTTCTTTCTGTCCCTCCCTTTTGCACACAAGAGGTAACCACTAGTTAAAATATTCAAAATGATTCCTTCTAGCCGAAGCATAGAAGTGCAGTGCCTTTGTTAATTAGGTGTCTGCTTTTTTATTTTCTTTTGCTGAGAACAAATAACCAAACTGCTCAGTGCTTGTAATGATTACTGACTTATCTTTATAGTATCAACAGTTTACAGTGCTCAGGTTTTTTGACCTGCACGATTTATACTACTTATACTGGATGATATGAGCTGTTTTCTTCTTGTCCATGTCCATGTTCTTTCTTTCTCAACTTGCCACAGTCTTTTGCCCTTAAGAAGCATTGCTGCGTTGTGTTTTTAAAGGTTCTAACTATATCAACCCTTTCTGTAGAGAATCTGTTAGAAAATATAGTACAAATTCATAAAAGACAAGAATAAGTTCCCAAGAAACTATCTAGTCTGTTTCTGTCTCCCGAGATAGGATCAGTTATGCCTTTGTCAGTTCTATTTTTAAAAGTCTCCCTATACAATCTTTTTGTTACTCTTCCCCCTAGAAAGTTTTTCCATAAAACACAGCCTAAATCTGCCTTAATGTGTTTAAATTCATTACATTTTTTTTCTGTCCCCAGTAGCCATGTCTTTTTTTCCCTTTCTTCCCAAGAATCTCAAACTTTCTAGACAATTTCAAAATCTTGATATACCTTTCTTTTCAAGGAGGTACTTTGGTAAAAATACCATGAGCATTCTTTCTCATCCATTACTTTCTGGGAGAAGATGTTTTTTCCTTTGCTTGGTTTCTTGATCTGTAGCAAATAATTGTTTGGTGGTGATGTTACTAAAATTTTTTTTTCCCCACTGCTTTTCAACAGATCTACCTCCCTCTTACATTATAGATATCAGAGCAAGTGAAAATATCTTTGATATACCCCAAACCACGCTTCATGCATTCATTTTTCTTCTGCCTTTCCTTCCTGAAGGAGCTGTACCATACTGTGTTAATATTCCAATATGACATAAAATACTTTTATTATAGTGATTGAAAAAAGTGTTTGAGATTTTTTAACTAAGGAAGGTTTTTTGAAATGTTATTTCTGTTAGAAGCAGTAGTGCCTCCAACTTGATTTTAATTGTTTTTAGGTGCTCAACCTATTCATCGCGTTGCTGCTGAGTTCATTCAGTACTGACTCTTCGATGGGACAAGAGGAAACTGCAAAAGAGACCAAATGTCAGATTGCCATTGCTCAGATTCACGAGGGCCTGCAGTCTCTGAAGCACAAAATTTTGGATCATTGTGGCAAAATAATGAAACGAAGTCTCAAAACAACAACCAAAAGGAAGACTGTGGTGAAAATTTCTGCCAAAGACCTAGAGGAAAATAACCATGCCATGGCAGATATCACAAAGGATGTAGAAAACTATTGCTTTGACATTGGGTGTTACAATAATAAGGAGAATTCCTCAATGACAAAGAAATATGAAGAATTTTTAATGAACCGTACCTCTGTTCCCATTGCAGTAGCAGATGATTACAGTGATGAAGATGATAGTGAGCAGAGTGGATGCACAGCAGTGGAATACAGAAAATGGGTAAGAAATATTAATATTTTAAAAATTTTGTGTAGCTTGCATCTGCGAATATAATTTCCAAGACTCAGCAGTAAACTTCATCCCTTCTATTTTTCCATTTCTAGTGTTTTGTTTGCTTTGTTCTTCTAGTAGCTTCAAAATGCAGGAGCTGTCAAATAGTCTCAATTATTCAGTAAGATGTTGACTATGCTCACTTTCACCATTCAGCTCCCTGATAGCAATGTTCTGTCTATTTTGTTTCCATTTATTCCTGTCAATTGCTAAATGAACTTTGGTCAAGATAGACATTTATTTTTTTAAATGTCTTTTGCCTTACATATGGAATCTATATTTCTTAGTGTTGTAAAATCCCTTGTTTTCTGTGATATTTTGCATTCCCCGTTTTATCTCTTGATGTTATTGCTTTGGGCAGAATTACTGTCAGGATTTAGACACTTAAATATGGATATCTGTATACAGATTTCTGTATGTGAGTAAGGCATTTAATTTGATAGTCAATGGTAGTAAATAAAGGGGCAGTTCATTTGCCTTAACACAGACACTCAGAGACATTTAAGATGCTTCAGGTATCTGTCAAATCCACATGGGACCGACAAATATGACACAGAAGCTATAGCAGCTCTTTCTGGCATCTGGAAGCCAGGGGTATGTAGAGACAGTTCAGATGGCACTAGATATCAGCCACAATTAGTAAATTACTCAATTTAGGTATATTAATCTCAAAATGAATCCCATCCTTTGTGCTTGAGACAGCTACCCAGACATAGATGCCTAGTGTCATTTAGGATGCCCAGGAGTATCCCATATGGCTTACTACTGCAGCTCCAAAAAGGCACCAGTCTTCTATAGGTCCTTTGATATATTCAACTATACCATGTGTATGTCTTAGATACCCTCAGGTATCCCAAAAGACACCAAGCATTTCTGGATGAGTGACTGAATGAACACCTTTGCGCTCTCACTGCGTTCAGTGTCCCTTGCTGCATGTCTGTATTGCTTGTATGTCTCCTGCTTTTGCACTTCATGCTTTCTCCCTTCTTGTCTTCTTAATTATTTTTTCTTTACCCTATTTTTGTTCCTTTTATTACTTCTAATGTGAAGTACTTTTAATAAAATGGAATTTTACCTGATTACCTTCCTGTGAGAAGGGTAGCGTTTCTTAATGAACAGTAACCTAGGATTATATGATAGCAGAAATGTCAAAAGCAGATGCTATTTTGGGTTGAATTTTCATATAGCCAGTGTGTAGTGGACTACTGGGATTCATTTCCTATGTTTTTCATCACAAGGGGACTGTAGTATTTGAAATTGAGGAAAAAATCATTCTTTTCCAGCTTTTTTTAGGGATAGTCATTTCATTTTCTATGAAAATAAAAATATTCTGAACTTTTTTTGAATGCTTTGGATTCTGTTAAGGAAATTTGACTGTAAGAATGACCCTCAGAAAAGAAGATGTGGAAAATAAGTTTATTTGTATTATTTCAAGCAGGGAGACCAATTAAGACATAGAGCACGGTGCGAAACCTCAAGTGATTGCAGTCAATTGCCTGAGACTTTCGAAATCGTGAGTGACTTTTCAGAAATGCAAGAAATTAAAGAGCAGAAAGAGGTAAGCATGGTTTCTGTCATCTTTATGAATATGCTAGACCTGAAAATTGTTCCAGTAGTTCTCTCTTTCAGCAACAACAGGACAAATGGGGGGTTTCTAAACAGTAGCAACTATAATCAATGTGGAAGACAGTGTATCTCTCTAAAGTAAATAATACTTTAGAATGTGGAAGTTTGTGTCTCAAACATCCATGGCTACCAGCGTAACTTAATATATGATTTTGTACAAAGTGAGTCAAAAAGAATTAATCAAGAAGCACTCTTTCTTGAAGTGCATCTAGTATGTGCTATTTGTTTTTATGGCTAACTTCTTTTGCTGCTAACCTTGGATGTAAAACTTTGTTCTGCTGAAATGGTTCCCAAAACAACCATATATTTTCTGATCTAGAAACTTAGTTTATTCTAATACAATACATTTCCACATAAGAAAAGGTGAAGAATTATGGTTCACCTCCAAGTGACCCAGAAAATTAAATGGAAGTTCAATGACTGTCTGGATTACTACCTCCAAGAAGCAAACAACTTTAATATTCAACTCTTTTTAGTACAGTTGCCTAAACTTTTATTTAGTCTAAATTACGGCACTTTGTTATATTAGGTATAAGTTTAAAAATATTAAAATATCCATAAATTTAGACCATTACATTTTCTATGTGTTGAAGGTTTCCTGCAGAATTAAGTTAGCATAAACCAACATGATAATCAAAAAAGGCAGTCCTCTCTTACCCTGGCTTTTCATTCCTATCCTCATGCCATCCCTTTCCATGTCACACAGGGCACTTACACTTTTTAGCTGAAAGATTACTTTCTTTTTTTTTTTTTCTTTCCATTTTAGTTTTATAGGTGTGTAGGTTATTTACCAGTGACTACAGTTATTCGAAATCTGCATTTCTTTCCTGCCAGCCTTTCCCCTCTTAAAACCTTTCCAGATATGGTCTGTATCTTTGCAAAAGAAAAGGGAATTGGAATGGCATGAGGCAGAGTGAAGCCTCCCACTGTAGAGATTACAAAAGGAAAAGTTAAAATTTCTAGACTCAAGTGAGGGAGTGCATATGCACCCATAGCATGAATGCATCTGTATGAAGGTACATGATTACTCATGTACATAATTTTGATTCTAAATAAGCAGCTTCTCTTTTTTAAGATGTGTTGTATATGCACATAAACATGTTTAAGGATTTTTATAACCTGCCCTTCTGTCTTTCTTGTAAGAAATGTGAGTAGAGCTCTACATATCAGTGCAGTCTGCATTTTGCAGCCTGTACACTTGATACTAACCAGATTAAAGAACTCAGCCCTAAGGACACCCACTTTTCCACTACTGAGATGCCTGAGCACAAACAACGTGGAGAACTATGTCCTTAAGGGACATGGAAGCAATGGAAGCAACACATTTCAGCAAAAGATTATAAAAATTCTTTTCAGAAGAAATCGAGTGCAGATAAACCTAAGTATATTTATAGCCTAATTAAATCTCTTCTAAACCTTTTCTCCCACTGCCTAGAAGTCCAGTGTAGAAACCTAGAAAAAAAAAAAAAAAAAAAAAAAAAAGGAACTTACCAAATCATAGCTGTGGAATCAAAGAATAGGGAACAGCTCTGGTTTTTGTAACCTTATTTTAGCAATTCAGCACCACTGAGATGATTTATGCCCTACAGATCATTTTTTCTCTTTTTTTTTTCTTTTTTTTTTCTATATATAAATTCCATTTATTTTGAATCTGGTAGCCTTATTAAGGAAAAATGAATAAATTCTCTTCTTTGTTCTTGTCCTATGCAGAAACTTGATGTTGGTAGTTATTCTGAAGCCAGCACTGTGGATCCAGTTATTCCTATGGAGATATTTTCCCAGGCTAAAAAGCCACAGATACCTAAGGACTGTCTTGGAGAAAGTAAGAATCTATAATTCATCACAATGACAGTAAATAAGCCACTATAACATTTCTAAATTGGCAGAGACTGTTTACCTGAGGCACTTGTTTATACACATAAAAACTCAGGCAAATATATATGAAGCCAGTGTACAACTGGAGTAAGATTCTGAGATTTGAACACAGGCACTTAGTCCCCTATGAGATGCCTTCGAATACCCAAGACAACTGCATGGAGCTAGCAGAAATGACTGAGGAGCTGTAGGATATCACAGAGAGCCTGAAATAACTCTAAATATGTATTTAGGATGCTAAATCTCATCCTTGGAACGTGATTCAGTCATATATTAAGACGTGAGAATGACGGTGTTGATATATGAGCTGGAGCACTTACTCAGAGCACTTCTGAAGGACCAGCTGGAGGTCAGTCAGGAAAAGTATTGGGACACCTACTATTTAAATGACACTTGAGTCCTATGTTTAGACAACTGAATATGTCTGAGCTCCCAGTGTAGTGAACAAATATCCAGTCAATACAGCTAAGGGCAGTCAAAGGACTATACAGTTCATCCTAAAACAGACATGTACATTTCATCACTTGAATGGATCCTTAGACTCCATTGACTTTAATGGTTCAATCCTATTGCCTTTACAAGAAAAGAAGTGTGTAAATACAGAGAATTTAGTAGTAATGTCTCTGCTGTGCTAACAAGTGATGTAATCAGTAACAATAATACTTCATAAAAGCACTAGAAAGCGAATATTTCTTTTCAAAAAAAAAAAGAATAAATGCAGAGAATAAAACCAGCAAGCTTTGTAAACAGAAGTAATAGCTTTTTAGATGAAATCCCTGCAGAAGGGCATGTGTACACAAAAGCTTCTTTGTTTTTTCCAAGTATGAATTGGTCTGTTGCCTGCAAATTTTATCTTTTCCATCTCCTTAGAATATTTTATCCACAGCAACACTACCACTTGGGTAAAACAGCACATTCTCCATATACTCCACAGAAGCTCATTTTATGATGTCTTGTGCTTTTAAACTTGCCTGGCTCCACGTTTTCTATGGAACCTATATACTGTTCTCTTTCTTTTCAGGTTGTGTCCAACATTTTCCGTGTTGTGTAGTGGATATCACTACATTTCCAGGAAGTGCTTGGTGGAAATTTAGAAAAACCTGCTACAGAATTGTTAAACACAGCTGGTTTGAAAATTTTATCATTTTTGTGATAATATTGAGCAGTGCAGCACTGGTAAATTTAATTTATTCTCTCAGACTTTGAACTAAGGGGCATAAGCAAAGGAAAAGAATCATGTTATTCTATTGCATTTATTTCGTCTCTTCCTCTTTCACATTCCTTTCCTCAAGGATAGATAAAAGTATAATAAACTTACCCTTACAAGTTGTAAGGCTTTCCCCAGTTGGAGAAGTAGCAGAATATTTAAATGTATAGATTTATTGCCTTCTTGATAGTTCTTCATGGAATTACTTTGTGTGCTTAATTAAGAGACTAAGCCAGAGTCTGAAATTACTTAGGAAAGCTTTAAAAAAAAGATGTACCTCCGAATTTATAAAACAGATTAACTACTCGATAAAAACAGATTTAAAATCATACAAGACTATGAGAATCTAAAACTGAAAATGTCTATAACTGGCAGGGTGACTTTATCTTTAATTACAGCTCTAATTACATCTATTTTTACTGAAGAATAAGGGAATTTTTTTGATGTGCAAGCATACTAAGTCTAATAAAAGTAATTTGTTTAATAAAAATTACATAGTTTAGAAAAAACATAACCAATCAGTTTGAAACCGGACCTATATAGTAGATATGAGAATTTTCCAAATAAAATCTGTTCTGTGTGCATGAGTTTTAAGTTGAACAATGAACCATAAAATCGAACTTTCTGCTCTAAACTTTCCATGGCAAAAAGCTCCATGGGAAGTCCCTGGGACTGCAGTGAGTGCTCCTCTATACCCATGTGCAACCACAGTGAAATGAGGAAGGAATTTCAGTCATTTTTTACTGTACTGTAGGACCTAGCCAATTTGAATACGAAAATAGTCGCTTTACACATACAAAATAACAAAATAATAATGATTTCTGTTCATCAAAGACTTATTGTGGCATTAAGAACTTTCACATTACTAAGATGCTGTTGTCATCTAGCAAAAATATTCTATTTTCTGTTTATTTATGAGATTTTTTGATGATAGGAAGTTTCCTGTAAATTAAATGAAAGGATATTCTGAGAAAGAATGCATAGAAAAGTGTATGGTGAGTACTCAGAGCAAGAGAAGAGTTTAGTAATTAGAAGTCTGAAAGAGCATCCCTGCTAATGAATGGGTGAGTTGATTAATGGATGTAGATCAAGGTAACAAGATTCTTAGGTTGCCAAGGTTAAGCAGAGAAAGAGACAATGCTAATTGTCAAGCTTTCTGAGAAAAAAATTAGGAAACGGGAAATAGGATTTTGTATGTGAATGCAGTGGTGTGCCTCCTATAGTTCAATTAGCAAGTCTGTGGATACAGTGACAGCTTTGTTCTGTAGACATTTATCTTACCTGTAGCACAACTGAATGGCCACTGCTTCAAAGATCACATAGCTCCAGAAATGGTATTACTGCTTTCTTACAGCGCAAAGCAGGAGTGCGTAGGTTCTGCCAGACTGGTGGTAACTACACATAGGAGAGTCTCTGCTCCCTGTTTTGTCAGTAGGAACATAAAACAGGAACATAACAGTGATTTTATGTGATTTTATTAATTCAGATCTCACTGGATCCAAACCCTGCTTATGCTCCTACTCCCCTTTATCAGTGACCTATTACATTGGGCTTAGCATGTCATAGTTTCAGGAGAACAAATCAGGTCTGTTATAATGCCTGAATAAACATCTTCTCCCAAAGCACTGGGGACATGCCACAGCAACCCAAAGTATGTGCTTTTTGACCAATCTAAAAATGAGACTAGTTATTTCACAGTTTAGTTTTTAACTTCTAAACATAAAAACTAAGTGGAAATTTCCTGTAATTTATTGTGAGATTGTTATAATAAACCAAACTGTACCTTCTTATACCATTTGAAAATAATTTACCCAAAAACTACTGAAAGGCTTAATTACTGAATTCTAAAATTCCAGGCATTTGAAGATATTTACCTTGAGAAAAGAAAAAAAGTTAAAATGCTCCTAGAATATGCAGATAAAATATTTACTTACATCTTTTTTATGGAGATGCTTCTGAAATGGGTGGCTTATGGCTTCCAAACTTATTTCACAAATGCCTGGTGTTGGCTTGACTTCATCATTGTATGTGTAAGTATTATATTGAACTTGCCTTATGTCTTAAATTTTGAGATTTACTGTATAGAGAACTCCATGCATAATCAGGTTACGAATGAAAGCAAGCGTAAAAGTTTCCAAAAGCTGAAAACAACTGCAGTCAAAACAGACTGAACAAAAAATGTAAATAGCAGTTACGTGTAACTGGTTACTTAAGAAAATTTTACTGAATACCGCTATCATTGAGGACCATGTTGGTTATAAAAACCTTTTCCAGTATAGAGAATGCAATTAGCAATCAAAAATGAAACTAAGATACATCAATTAACATAGGAAAATGTGAAGCTGCTGGCAGCTTCAGCAGTTAGTAGTAGAAAAAACTAGAGCTGCTTGCTTGAAGAAGAAGAAATTTAGATGGTAAAGGGAATATAAAAGTATTGTTGGAAAAAGCATTTGCCAGAGAGTTGAAGAGGTAAGAATGTATGTTTCGCTCTGCAACAGAAGCAATCCTAACGTAAAGAGAAATGGTGAAATCATCAACAGAGAGATAAATGTGATACAGTGTTCAATATATATTTATTCTGGGTTCAGAAAAAGTTAAATAATATAATCTTGTCAGATAATAATGTAATGTTTTTTTATTTGTCAACAATGCACTTGGAATATACGGAAAAGAATCTACTGCTAAATATTTTAAAATAAGCATATCCAAATACCTGGTTTCCAGGAATGAGAAGGTAGCTATTCCCTAAGCAGTCTGAATTGTTTAGCGTTGAGAGTTTTGAAGTACTCAATGCTTCAACAGAAAAATGTAATACTAAGACAATTTAAAAAGAATGAATAGCATGACTCTAGCAATTATAGTTCTGTAAGTTTAATAGCATCCCTGATTAAAACAGGGGAAGAGCATGAAACTATGCAATGGCTAGGCAATGAGACAACAAATTCAAATCGGAAAGAGGATGAAAATTATGAACAATGAAAAAAGCTAATTATTCGAACCATTTACTAATATTTGTTGTTCATTTTCTGTTGTGAAGATTTAAAATCATGATTGGATGTTTTTTCCAACACCAACAAGGTGGTGTATTTCCACCTTAGCATCTTAAGTTATAGTCATGATAAGGAGTTACTGGAAACCCTTCTGAGACCAGTTATACAGACAATGAGACTAATTTAAGAGAATAATTCTTTCTGGCCTTGTAGTCTTTGAAATTACCATCGTTACTAATTTGATTGTTTTACTAACGTTTTAAGATATATAAACTGATTGTGAAAAAAATGGAATGAAAGAATTCCATTATTCAAAAAACATCAGAACAGAATAAATTAGAGGTATGTTACAATTAATTTGAATTAGTGGTCAAAAATAATGTAACATTTAGCCTGTGATTGTCTACTGTCACAAACAAAATGAACTTTTATATGCCATTTAATAATCTTAATTTCAATTCAATCAACACAGCTTTCATTTGTTTCCTGGGGGCTAAAATCTGTTTCCCAAGACACATCACTTTGTTCCCGTGGCAGTGCCTTGAAATCTCTCCGAACACTCAGAGCCTTGAGGCCTCTACGAGCTTTATCTAGATTTGAAGGGATAAAGGTAAGGATGTGTGTGTGTGTGTGTGTGTATTTCATAATAGCTGCATTTGAAGTTCTTATTATGAAACGCACAATTTGAGTCTCTTGTTTGGGATGTGAAATAGCATTGAAATGATTCAGATTTCCTACTTACATTGTGTAGTTGTTAGTTTCAAAACATTTTCACAAGAGATTTACAGATACAAATAAAATAAGGAAATTATAGTGTAATGTCAACATTGTAATGTCAACATTCTTCCATATTTCTACAGTTTCAATAAGAAGTGTAGAACAAATTAAAACAGATTTCTGTATAGGATTGTACTTTTCTGAAACCTAGCCTTTGTTTTAACTTAGGCATGGAAAATTCTTCTGCAAAAAATAAATATAATTGAAAAAATAGGATCAATTTTTAATGATTTATCAATAAAGTAGAAGCTATATGTGTATTTCCTACATGAAACAAACTCGCACAAAAGAGTTTTAATATGAGGAGGAAACCCATATTGTGAAAGTTATTCAGGACACCAATACTCATGGCATAAGAAGTCTAGTGACTACAGTCTTTTCTTAATTTTTTCTCATTGCCTGAGGCAGAAAGCTGGGAATGAGAAAAATTGATTCAGTAGTTCTTTGCTTCAACTGAACCTACTCAATTTTTTTGTAACTCCTTTTCAAAGCTCCCAGTCTTTGGACTACTGTGATTTTATCTACTCCTCTCGACAATTTTCTCTAGTCAGACTCCCTACTCAAAAGCCAAATTTCAAATTCTCCTGGGTGGATTTAAAAGATAACAAACTCCAAGTCATATCAGTCCTTTGCATCCTTAAAAAATCCTTTGCATCCTTAAAAAGGATGAGATTTTCTTAATAGGAGTGAGGATTATCTAACCTACCATTAACAACTGCAGGCATCTTGCTCTGAACAGGTTATTGCGAATCTTTAAATTCGACGTGGAGAAGCAGGAAGTGCTATAATGCAATTCATCTGACCTGTTGTAGATCATGGAGTGTGATGAGATGCTAACCTTAGGTTCCAGAAAGGATATGGAGGCCATGGCTTCCTGGAAGCCATGAAGGACAAGAAACTGATTAGGAACAACCAGCATGAATTTTGAAGGGCAACATTTGCCTCACAAATCTGATTGTCTTCTGTGAAGAGATGACTGACTCTGTGCATGAGGGAAGAGCTAGTTGTGGTCTCGTATTGGTTGGGCATGGTTTGAATTGGTGGACTATAAGGTAGATGGAAAACTGGCTGAACTGCCGATTCAAAGTACAGAGATAACAGGATGAAGTCCAACTGGCCGCTGGTTACTAGTGGCATCCCATAGGAGTGAGTACTGGGGCCAGTACTGTTTAACAACTTTGTTAACAACCAGAACAGTGAGGTAGAATTCACCCGCAGCAAGTTCACAGATGATGCCAAATTGTGGGGCAACAGTCAATACACTATGGGGCAAGGCTGCTCTGCAAATAGAGCTTGACAGATTGAAGATATAGACTGCAGAAACCTCATGAAGTTCAGCAAAAACAAAGTCCTGCATGTGAACCAGAACCACCACATGTGACTGTATGGACTGAGGGCTCATTGTCTAATGAGCAGCTTTGCAGAAGAGGATCTGGGATGGACAGCAAGTTGAACGTGAGTCAGCAGACCGCCGTTGCAACAAAGGCAGTTTGCCACATACTGGGCTGTATGAGCGGAAGTCTAATCAGCACATCAAAGCAATTGACTCTTTTCTCTTTGGCACTAGTGAGACTGAATCTGCAGTGCTGAGTCTAGTTTTGGGTTTCTCAGTATAAGAAAGATACTAACTTACTGCAGAAAGTCGAACGGAGGACCACCAAGATGATCAGGGGGCTGGAGAGGAGAGACTAAGAAATTTGCACTTGTTCTGCCTGCAGAAGAGAGGATCTGATTGTTGTCTTTAACTACTTATCTCCTCTGTAGCCTCCTGCTAAAACTAGATTTTTCTCATAAGCCTACAGTGATAAAGTCAGAGGCAACAGACATGAGTTGGCAATAAGGGATGTTCTGATTAGATATTGGAGAAAAAAAATGACAGCGAGTGTGGATAAAATTGGAGTGGGTTGACCAGAGAGGCTGTTGAATCTCCATGCTTGGAGAAATTCAAAATTATTTTAAACAAGGCCCTAAGCAACATATCAAAGGTGGCCCTGTTTTGAGCAGGGAATTGGAACAGAAGAACTTCAGATGTGCCTTCCAATATGTATTATTCCGTGTTTCTAGTATACGTATATTATCCAAGCCCAAGATAAGAAGCTCAGAATCTTTTCAGAATGAAACATCTCTAGAGAGACATTCACCATGCCCCAGAGAGTGATGAAAATACCAGAGAGTGATGAAAAGAACCTCAAAAAACCCCATAAATTAAGGAAATGTGCTGACCAAAATGACTCAGTCTTCCTTGGAAACCAGACTTCTCTACTTCTTCTGCTGTGTGCAGTCAACTGCAGACAATTACCAGGTTAGGTTCACTTTCTTATTGAGGGCAAGTTGTGGCTCTTTCTCGCAAAACTCCTCTAAGATAAAATCTTGGATTATTTGTGGCATTGTAGTAAATGTAGGTCATGTTACTCATTCTTCTATACCCACTTTTTAGAGTCCTAATCTACTACAAACTCATTTTTTATATATATTTCCTCAGTCCAGGGAGTATTCTAGTTGCCATCTGCTTTACTTCCTTCCACAAAATGGCAAGGTAGATTCCATACAATTACAGGATAAGCTTGAGGTTAAGCTGAAGGCTGTCTTTAAATTGGTCATTTACTATTTTCTATGTGTGAGAATCTGCTATAGACACAGAAGAAGAAAAAATATATTTTTAAAGTCGTTTTCTAGGAAGGTGTTCTATTGAATGTTTATAATTCATGCAGCCTTTCCATTCATTTCATTTATTTAAGGTTGTTGTGAATGCACTCTTGGGAGCTATCCCCTCAATCTTGAACGTTTTGCTCGTCTGTGTTGTCTTCTGGCTCCTATTTAACATCGTAGGAGTACAGCTACTTGGAAAAAAATTTTGGAAATGCACGCTCAAGGCTGGAAATATCAGTCTGATTAATAACAGAAGTGATTGTAATGCCTATGGTGGAACCTGGGAGAATGGTCCTGTAAACTTTGATCATGTTGGAATGGGATACTTGGCTCTTCTCGAAGTGGTAAGTTCTATAAAAACACGCTAAGTTTTGTTTTCTTCAAGAACATGTATTGAGCAGTCCTGCAATAGGACACCACTGTTGCTTGTATTTATCTTACTAAAAATGGAGATTTTTTTAGTTTACATAAATATTTTTATACATATAAACTGCTCAGTTCCTCCTAAAGAACACTTTAGTACGTGCGACTTTGTGTTAAAATAAAGCACTTTGTTTTATGCCTTTTCAGTTTTCTTTTTCTTTTGATAAGCTTGCTAAGCCTGAAATAGTCAGCATGTTACTAAATTTAAAATTCTCGTTTTCTTTAGAGTAAAAATCAGTTCCAAACTGGATGAGAGAGAAAATACCTACTGCAGTTTATTTATAATTCTGTGTTTTCTTATTATCTAAGTCATGAAATATTTGGATGCTAAGGTATTGATCTTCCTGATACCATTATAAGGGGGGAAGTCACTTTTTATGGTGCCTGCTCTCCCTCTGTCCTATCTAGATGTAATTTTTTGCTCTATAGCCTCCAAAATATTATAGAATCCTGCAGAGTTGTTAACAACTGCAGGCAGAATCATTTTCTATTTGCCTTAGAATTTATTTTCTTTTTTTAGAATATATTTACTAATTAAACTGAAACTTTTCCTGTTGTTTATTAACCTCTAGTGAGCCATACTTCCAAACAGATCTTCAAAAGTGATGCACGTTTTTAATAGCACATTGCTCGCTTTTGCAGAACTCTTAACACATTTATATTTGCTCTACATAATCTTAATTTTAAACTTTTAAAGTTTTGTTTCAATGAGAATGCAATTTTTTTCCAGGCAACCTTTAAAGGTTGGATGGACATTATGTATGCAGCAGTGGATTCACGTCAGGTACATCATTAAAATGAAATGATCTTCTTTTACCTTTTTTTTTTTTTTTTTAACCCTTTCTTCTTTCCTTATTTTTCTTTTTAATCCGTACAGTTCCTTTTTCAGTTTCTTCTGCAATATCAGGTCAGAAACATTAGCAAATGAGTTAGTGAACCAATAGCCCTTGGAACAGTAAATATCTGGAAGTTAGACTAAGGAAAACATAATTAAAATAGACTATTCCATACAGAAACCTACTATATGAAAAATACTAAAGGCAAGATTCTGCAATTTTTTTACAAGTCTGTATTAGGAATAGAGTTCAGAGAAAGGTCTTGGAGAGATTGTCCTTCTGAAGTAAATTTCCTTCTTTTTTAAATGCATACAGTAACAATAAAACTGCATGTATGTTTAGCAGTTATTTCTGCAGGTTTTCATCCCAAGTATTTGGTATACCTACTTTTTCTTCCCCGTTTCCATGTACTGCTTCTCACCCTCTTACTAAATAAAGTTCTATATGTTTTAATTTTTGTATGTTTGATTTAATCACAGTCTTCTCTGATTCTCATTCATTTGCCTTTTCCGTATTCATTCAAGCACTATATGCTTTGAATATAGTGGCTAACAATTAAAAATGAGATTGTTCCTTGTACAGTTGATCACAGTGAGCTGGCTTTTTAAAATTGCCTCTTGTCTGGGTTATTGTTCGTGTGTATGGTAGTTCACCAAAATAGTTTAGCCTAAGCTAATTTTCTAATCTAGGCGTTCACAGCATTGCTTCTAATTAGGACCGATTTATATACTACTTAAGCTTAAGAATTTACTAGACCTTCATTTAGCTATATATCTTCATTTATAACTGTCTTTATAAATAATAATACAGTAGAAGGCAGTTGTTCTACTTGCACATGTAACTAAAGGTTTAAGCGTGTTTAACTAATCTGGCCCTCCTGATAATAAAAAGATCTATTATTATAAATTGGAAATGCCACAGCTGGTATTATCCTATTCTTACCAACATTGTTTTCTTGTTTTGTTTTTTGTTTTTAACAGAAAGATGAACAGCCAACGTTTGAACACTTCTTAAGCATGTATATTTATTTTGTGATTTTCATCATCTTTGGATCTTTTTTCATGCTGAACCTCTTCATTGGAGTGGTTATTAGCAATTTTAACCAACAAAGGAAAAAGATAAGTACTGCATGAACTAATTCAGGGTCTCTTGTAATACCATTTTTATTAAGTATATGCTAGTTTGACATCTAGATGTCTAACATTTTTAGATAAACTTTTAATCTAAATATTATTTTAAATTCCTCCAGTGAAAATGTTATGTAAAAGTTTTAAAGAGATAGAATAGAAATCTCTTAGCCAGCACATTCTTAGCCAGTGTTCACTATTTTTCTTCTGATCTTTTAGTAATTCACCTGCAAATCCTGTTTTCATGTCAAGCCCTTAATTCTTCCTGAGAAAGAGGACGGGGAGAAGGGAGAGGGCAGTTTTAGGGAAGAGAAGCCAAAAAAGTTTGTTATGTAGATTTTACTAAAGGAGAGTGAAATTCTTTTCTTTTTTGAAGATCCACATTGGAGAACAGAGCCCTTTTAGCTGAGAATAAACACCTAGCAAACATGTTAAGAATAATCAAAAACCATGACTGCTAACGACAGAGGTAGCCACTGCTTTCCTGGCAGAGAAACCTGAAAAGATTTGGCTAATGGAAACATCTTGTAAAACTGGCTTAACTTTAAAATTCCAGTCTCCGATAAAGCGCTCTTTACAGGTTAACTTGCTGGGGTTTATATAAATTTCTGCTATGAGATCCAAGCCCAAGATAAGGCCATCTAAAAATTAAAGGCTTCTTTAAGCACGTGAAGCACTGACTGCTTCCACTTTCCTCCTTATAATTTAATTATTAAGTTCCCAGTGCTTTTTATTCAATAAGAAATTGAAGACAAAATCTTGGAATGGAAGACATAGTGAAAGCAAAGCCTTCACTAATATACTTCAGCTTCCTCATACCAGAAGATAATGCAAAGCGTCAAAAGACCTTATTTATTATCAAGCTTATTTTTTGATTGAATTCTCTCACTGATTCATTTAGGGACTTAAAACGGCCAGAATATCATAGGGAAGTGAGTCAATCAAACCGCTTGATTGGAATCCACTTGTAAATGAACAAGTTGCCTGTTGAAAAAATACTCACAAAAACTTAACAACAGGAGGTTTCCAATTTCAAGGTTCCAGTTTCAATTCTGCAAGACAGAATTGCTGTAGGAACAATTTAGTTATTTCCACAGCCTGAATTACACACCAAGTGTTAAAGAGCTACCGTCTGTCTTAGAAATAGATAGCAATAAAGCACACAAGAAATTCTTCTGCTCTCTGCATTTAAACAGAAAAAGAATGTGTAGGGGTGGAGGAACAACAGTCCAATTATAGTGAGATTAAATTAAAATTTCAGAGGTCTTGCTAGAGACATTCAAAGCGCAGATGCCCTACTGAACATGTTTATGTTACAAAATGCTGATCATTTAATGTTTTTATGACCAATGAAAGAGGCTGCTCATGAATACTTGGTTCTAAGTGATTGCTGAATAATACAGATGGAGTAGATGGTAGTAGAATGAGGACTAGAAATTCATTGTAAAGCAACTCCCATAGAACCTGGTCCCAAAGTGCTTATTCATAATCCTCTGTTTACTTGTTAGTCCAACCATATATTCCACCTTTCCCCAAAACATAAATTAAAAGTACTTACTTGTTGCTGAGACCATAAAGTCATTTTAAAAATATGAAATGGATTTATAAAAACTTTAGAAAGGCTCTCACAGTTGAGGAGACTGACTAAGGGACATTCACAAGACTTCACATACATGATCAAATCCTGATCAGCTCTTTGGAATGCTTCTTTTCAAAGAACAAGGGAAAAAGGAGAAATTCTGAGAGAACATTTTGTGTCTATGCTATCTTAGGTTATACTTATGACAGCTGTAAGTTACTTTTTTAAACGAATATGCTGATATTTCTTTAGTTGACTGCTTAAATTTAAAGTGAACAACAGTATTCTTTCTCTGTACTTAGGTGGAAAAGATTTATTTTTGACTGAGGAACAGAAAAAGTACTATAATGCACTAAAAAAGCTTGGATCCAAGAAACCTCAAAAACCCATCCCAAGACCATTGGTGAGACCATCCTAAAGCAAGTATGGTAGAAGACTTATAGATGGTGATCATATTTAAATCAAGCAGTCAGTCATCTGGATATGCACATAAAAGTTAAATACACAAAGAACTCATGATCTTGCTTATTACATACAGTACTCTTTACAGCTTACTCTCTTTTTCTTAATTCCATTTAATGCAGTCTTTATTTTGGGTATTAATTAAAAACAATTTACAACCTATTTAAGCCTATTCAAATTTGCAGCCTGTTCAATATTTATAAAAAGTTTTTATTGAGTATTTGCTATTCATATGATGATCTTGGTTACTTAAGCTGCATGATATTGCTTCTGCAACTAGATTGGATTATTGCAGGAGAGAATGAATAGTGATTAGTGCATGTCTAGTGGCTGTTACTCAGCAGAGTTTTGAGTGTTTCCTTTGAATGTCTAAAAGAATCACCTAAAAACACTTTTGGTCATTTATTGTTAATGTTATATTCTCTTCAGTTCCCCTGCTAGACACAAATTATTAATTAATATTTGAACCTAGACTGGATCTTAGAAGTAGCATTAATCAGTTGTTATCTCTCTCAACAGAATGTGTTCCAAGGATTTCTTTTTGATATTGTATCACACAAAGCATTTGACATTACTGTTGTGATTCTTATCTGTCTCAATATGGTTGTTATGATGACAGAAAATGAGAATAAAGACATCAGGAAAGTTCTTAATAATATCAACCGCTTTTTTGTGGCCATATTTACTGGGGAATGTGTCATAAAAATACTGGCCCTAAGACAATATTTCTTCACCAGTGGCTGGAACATATTTGACTTAGCTGTCGTGATCCTTTCACTAATTAGTAAGTATAAATTGTTATTAGAGCAGAGACTGTGTATTACCAATACTAAGTCAAAAGTCAATATGAAATAACCATTTATATATATTGAATAGACAAATTCTACATCCATTGCACTTTTCCAAACCATATTGTAAACCATATTTCCAAACCATTTTCTCCCTTATATATTGTGTTCCCTTCTGTTTTTGCACATAACCAAAAGATAAATGGATAGTTTTCAATTTTTTCATAGAAAAGTGAGACTTTTTACTGAGTAAGTAACAGAATAGCAATGTAATTTAATGTAGTAACATCATCTTTTCTAAGTCATTGTACTGTAGTCTTAATGATTTTATACCTTCAATTTACATGTGATCAGATTAACTGTAGTTTTCACAGTACAAGTAAATTCAGGTAAAAAATACATTTATTTGAAAAAATTGGAAACATTTATTGCATTTCCATTCCATTTAATAAGTCAGATTCTCAGGGCTGAGCTGGAAAGTTCAGGAAAAATTTAGTTGTCTTCCATCTTTTTAAATCTGGGCCCCTATTTGTGAATGTTGAAAGTGTTATTGAAACCAGCTTGTTTTTATTTTTCAAATTAGACTAGGTGTTTATCTATCAGTTTCTCCAAAAAGAGTCATATATGGTTTTAGTTTCTCGTACGGTGTTTTTGATTTGTGCTTCCTGTTCAGGCTTAGCATGTATCATAGGATAAAGAGGAGGACTGAGAAGAACAGCTAATCTGAGTTCTCTGCTTCCTCCTTAAACATGGTACCCCTGTGCTATCCCATGAAACTCAGAAGAATGCTGACTTCTTCTTAAGTCTTGTTTGTAGTCATTTACATTACTACTGTAGTGGTGAATGTACTATTTATTTTCTGATAGCAGGTTCATGGAATGAGGTGTGATGGAGAACTAATAGCAAAAGACAGTTTTCCTTTATTTTCTTCTTGCTGTTTTCTGGTATCATTCAAATACTAAGCATTGATGAAAGTCTCACGTTTATCATGTGGCTTGGGCCTGTAGAAGCAGCAGCAATCAGAAAGCAGCTAGGAGACAATATTAAGATTGATGCGCAAGCCACATAGCTTCCCGCACAGGAGTTGAATGGATTATAAAGGAGTTTTTAAAATAGTTGAGCAGTGAGTAGTTTTATACCCCAAATTACAGAAATTTGAGAACATGGAAGAGCATGTTCTTCCTTTCGGACAGGAGATTTTACAAAAGGATGCTGCTTTGTAAGACCTTTGTGTCATGAAAAATTTCAGAGTAGTTCTGTGCGTAATCTTGGTATTTCTTTAATTTTTAAAGGTATTCCATTTTATTTTTCTTTTTCTAAGCTCTTTTGTAAGCATTTGTAGTGTTGATGATAATGGTTTTTGCTGACAGCAGTATAATGTGATCAGTATTACTTTTAACACCTGAAGCATAGTATATAACAAAATACACATACATATGGAATTTTCATGAATATGATTTCACAAAATTTTGTTTTCTTTTTTGTTTCAAAGGTATTGGACTCTCTGAAGTTTTAGAATCTTTCTTCTCTCCTACACTTCTGAGAATTTTTCGTTTGGTGCGAATTGGCCGAATCCTGAGGTTAATTCGAAAAGCTAGAGGAATTCGAACTCTCCTTTTTGCATTACTGATGTCTCTTCCTGCTCTGTTCAACATTGGTCTTCTACTCTTTCTGGTTATGTTCATTTATGCTATTGTGGGCATGGCAAACTTTGCTTGTGTTAACTGGAAAGGTGGTATTGATAACCTTTTCAACTTTCAAACCTTTGATAGTAGCATGCTGTGTCTCTTCCAAATTACAACATCAGCTGGCTGGGATGGTCTTTTGAGCCCTCTGTTAAGCAGTCCTGATTCATGTGCTCCCAACTTAAATTTAACAAATAGAAAAGATATTAGCTGTGTAAGTCAGACAGTTGGCATTATATTTTTTGTAAGCTATATCGTTATATCATTTCTCATTGTTGTAAATATGTACATAGCCGTCATTTTAGAGAACTTCAGTGTTGCCACTGAAGAAAGCACTGACCCTCTCTGTGAGGATGACTTTGATATGTTTTATGAAGTCTGGGGAAATTTTGATCCTCAGGCAACACAGTTTATTGAATATTCCGCTCTTTCAGACTTTGCAGATGCTCTGGCAGAACCCTTACGCATTCCAAAGCCAAATACGATTCAGCTCATATCAATGGACCTCCCTATAGTTAGTGGAGATAAGATCCACTGCTTGGATATCTTGCTTGCTTTCACTAAAAGGGTGTTAGGAGAATCTGGGAATGTGGATGGTCTTGAATTACACATGGAGGAAAAATTTATGGCTGCGAATCCATCTAAAGTTTCCTACAAGCCAATCACTACCACGCTTAAAAGAAAACAAGAGGAGGTATCGGCTCTTATTATTCAAAGGGCCTTCAGGAGATATCTGATGCATCGTTCTTTGAAACATGCGTCTTTCTTATACCGCCTTAAACATTGTAACAGTGCTGTCTTTGAAGAAGCAATACATGAGAAGGAAGGTCTTAGTGCATTAATGCTTAATGAAAATTATGGTAGGAATCTAGATAAATCACAGACTACATCTTCCATATCTCTGCCTTTATTTTATGATGGTATTGCTGAAACAGACAGTGATAACGTGGAGACATAAAATTGCCCCCACCTGCAGCATTTTTGATTAAACTACTATCAGTTATTTTCAGTTTGAGAAAATCTTTTGATCCTAGAACATAATATTCTAAATTTACAATAATTATGGTAGACTTTAAGTATTGTTCAGTTTTGGAAACGCTCCTCAAAACAAGTAAGATTTAAAAAACTTTCTCGTAAACACGAAAGGAAAATCAAACCATGGGATTTTTTTCCTCAGCTACTGGAGTTGGTGAGTTAATTTTACACTTGCCATTTTTTATATTACTTGATATTTCTGTGTTTATACAAAAACTCTATGCAAGATCAATTATAACTATAATATGATTAATAAACACACAAGGCTGTAGAACAATATATATCTCTTTAGAGATAAAGCCTGTCTTGTACAAATTAATTGAAAGTTTTAATGTAACGTACTTATTTATAGCAATGCATTGCCTTATGTTTGGTTTGAAAAATATTCTATTATTGTAGCAAAATGAAATAATTACTGCAATGGCTGTAAAGGAAATTACTCAAGACGACAGTTAAATATAATCAGACCCTAATTTTTAAGTTGTCTTCCTCCTGGAGCTTTTGGCAGGATTTATTCATGCTTAGGAATTTTTGAGCTGTCTTTACTCGTGCTCCTAAATGGATTTAGCAAATCATACTTAGGTACCTGTGCCTGAAAGTTGTATATAACTTGTTTTCTTTATCATTCAGTGTATGAAAGCCATGGTGGTAATGATTATTAAAATAAAAGGAAATAGTGCAGGAGGTATGGTTTCCAGAAAATCTTGGAAATCAGTGTACATAAAATTTAATCATTATACTTCATCCAAATGTCATATAAAGTATTACTCAGTAATCTGCTTTAGATTTTGTAATAAATAATTCAACTACTTACATATTGTTGTCTGCTTTGTGAGAGGCATCTTAGTCTTATCCTTCACTTTCTTTTAAGACATAATCTATTATTAGAGAGGTAGAACCGCAATAACATAATTTTTCAAAAATAGCTACCTGTTAGTACAAGAAAACTGAAAATGCCTTACTCGTAAAGGGTTCTAAAAATTAGAACCTTCAGGCTAAAAATAACAGGAACAGTAAGGTAATTACTTATTTTTTTAGTGTCATTTCTCTTATTAAATAATATTAAAATATGACCTCTACAGATATAGTTAAATGTAAGCTATTTGTAGGGCAAATAAGGGCATGTCAAAACTGACTCGCATCCAGCAGAGTTAATGAGTTTAGATACAGGACTGTGCGAACTGGCTTTATTACTTCTGGAAACAGCTTGTTTTCAGAAAAAGAGTAAGGCCTGCAGATTTTTTTAGGTAACTCAGAAAGTTGTACTCAGCATGAGCAGCACTGGTCAGTGCACTGCAGAGAGGCTTGGTTGGCCTGCTTAGGAATGGCTCATGTCCAGCACTGTTTACTTTTGTACAAGTGATGCATAGTGATGCTTTTGAGGTGAAGCTATTTATTCTATTTGGTGTTAGCTGGAATGAGCAGTCATCTGTTCAGCAGTCGTGGACCATTAGGTGGCAGCATTTACTATGTTTTAAAATATGGCCAGTCTTAAGAGAAACAGATGTCAAATTTGTACACTTCACATCATATTAAATTAATTGTAAATAATGTAGGAAGTAATGACGTAGCTCACTTTTTTTCTGTCGCAGGCTCTAAGTTAGCCAGGGTTGTCTGTTGGTGTTTGATCCCTCAGTGTGTTCTATTCTTCACATATGACAGACTGACAGACCTTAATGCTTCATTTTGAAGTACTGCCTCCTGTTAACATCTGTCTTCTTACTCAAGCAAATCTTCCAGGAGGTAGTTTCAAGCATATTTCTATAGTAGCAGGAAATTTTTATTAGGAAAGATATACAAGCTTTGTCTTTGCGTACTGGAAAAGATGGAAAGACTGGAAGAGTGATATGAGAGAATTAAACTAATAATATTGATAAAATACTAGTATTTTTCTTAAAGCTAATCTGATCTTTACAATGTAAAATGATGTTACTTGGGTACCACAGCAAATGCTACATCCTAGTGCAGATTTAGAAAAACTTCAAAGATGAATGCCTTATTTCTTTTGTAGGGGCTATTAGGCAGAAACTTTGGACAAAACTGCACATGGCATAAACTTATTCATAGTAATTCTTTAATCTTAGAAACATGCAAAAGCACAGAAAATCGCCACAGTGCATGTTACAAATTCTGACCCAATCCTTTACAATTGTTTAAGCATTAAAGTAGCCGTGGCGCGCTATTGCAAGGTTGAAAGGAGAATGATGATATCCAGCCATTGTAGCTTCTTCATACTTGAACTACCCAAAAGCCAAGTCAGCTGCTGTGGCAACTTTGAATTTCTTTAAGGAGATCATATACTGAATAGCTAATTACAATGAACAGGTGAGAGTTTCTGAAAAATCTTGTATCTAGACACCATGAGTTCCTCCAGGTAAAATTGCCTGGACATAGGTGAACTTCTCATGGTGGTCATCCATGGTTGGAACACAGTGGAATAACATTCCTCTCCACTTGTGAGATTTGCGTCTTGAATCAGGGAACAGCACAAATAAAAGAATATTAAATCCCTCCACCATGCATGTGAAGCTACCAATGAACAAACAAGGACTAGCACCAGTGTAATATGTGTCAACATTGCCTCTTAATGATGGTACAGAACACTATTCTATTTTAATTTATCAGTTGACCTAAGTAGAAATATTTAGCAACTGACCACTGGTAATTAAGGCTTTTCTCCTACTTTTATGATACCCCTGCATCCATGAAGAAAGGCTTTCTGGAAACTGGTCATTTCCTTTCTGCAGTTTTTTAGTCACTGCTAGCCTTGCAAGGTCTGTACTGTTCATTGTGTTTCTTCATGACTCAGAGAAGTACTGCGTATAGTTAAGTTATTCCAAAAGAAAGGTGCCAGAAACAGCATCTCATTGTTGTATCCTTTCCCTGAGCCTGCCAAAGGTTGCTGTTCCTGACAGGTATGTCATCTGCAACTTCAGTTTCCGGAGCCATCACCAAAGTGGAAATTCTGTGGCTTAACTTGAGAAATCTCTGCAGTTCATGTTATGCAGAAGACTAATAACAAGCTAATAACAAGACTGACTTAAACTTTAGTAAGCAGACTTTACAGGCTTACCTTTCAAAGTGGTCTCTCTGTCTTGCCCATCGAGAAAAGGTTCCACCAATTGTTTCGGAGAGATGGACAATAAAATGAGCCTAGTTCATGCAGAGGTACTCATCTTTTTTGTTCCGCAGAACATGGACTATCTTTGACATGAACACCTTAGCTCCCTACTCCCAGAGAATCTGTGATCAGTAACATCTACTCCAGCTATTAGTTCCATTGTGGAATGATGCTTTGAGGAGCTGACTACATGTGTTGTGGTTACTGAAACCGAGACCTGATTCTCCGAGCATATTGCTATCCTTGCATACATGATCACCAAGTTTTGAGCAGGTTTCACTCCAGTGGCTGCCTTTGTGGTTTCCCAGTCTTCTTTTTACTGTTTAGCATAAGCTTAATGTACTGTCTACTAATTCCGTATGATGGAAGCCCTTGGAAGCACTGCCTACTGCAAGCCAAAACTTATGCGAATGTTAGCTATCTTGATTTTTATGGGTAGATAGTCATGTGGAAGGCAGAACTATTTGCCTTACTTTTTTCATCTCTCCCTCTGCCTTTCTTCTCATATCTGCACAAAGGAGATGGTTTCTTCAGGTCATTTATAGGTTTGGATTTTTGTTATTGTTTTTTTATGGTTATAATGTCTTATCAGTTACTGAATTCACAAATTCATAGTTATTAATATTTCTTAGTAGCATTATAAAACATCATTGCCCACCTTGCTTTTCATTCACACCAAGAATGATAGAGAGACCTAACAGGAAATTAATTAAAAAGTGGAGTATAAGTAATCCCATGAACCAAGTCACTTATCACAGTATCTAATCACAGATGTAAGATAAAGGTAAGAAAATGCCACAGATTCTGATGACTAATGGAACAACAGCATAATGATCCTTCCCTTTTGTTATTCCCTTTTGTTATTTATATTGTTACTTCTAGGCAAAGGAGGATAGACTGAAAATAAGAGATTAGAAGAACAAAAAGTGAAACAACCAAAAGGTCAGACTGATTGTTCAGAAGTAGCTTGCACAAAAACCTTGAGCAGGAAATCACAGAAGAGTAAAGAGAAGAAATAGTAGTTAAGGCAAAGAGAATGCAAATGGATGGGGAAAAGGACAGGAAAGGACTATCTAGTGTGTTGGATACCCACTTCAGGAATTGCTGGCAATTACATATTGCATGCTAAGTCTTACCAGATCGTCTGGAACATCCATTACACTTTCCTTGCCCAAAACAAGCACCACATCACAAACAGAAGGTTTTAGTTCCAGAGGCGAAAACTGTATCATAAGATGAAAGCTATCACAAGAAAAGCAAATGAGACCAAAGACCGCCAGTATCTTAGAGGTCTATTTTCGTAGGAAGTACACAAGCAGTTCCCAGCAAACTGCTTATGATTCATGCTCCACTGGAAGGCAAAAAGTCCAATATCTGTTTCTTTGAAATGAAGAAAAAATCCTTCCTGATCCTCAATCTGACAACTATTCTAAGTTTTGCTTTAAACAGGCATTGCTTTGGAAGAGTATGCACATGGTCTTCCAGTTTATCTCAGATTTTACTAGTTCAACCACGGGATTCCAGTGCTATACTACCAAGTAGTAGTCATAAATGACTGAAAATCAAATTCCATATCCATTTCAAATTAACACATCTGAACTACTGAGTCCAGTTTTGGGATTCCCAACACAAGAAAGACACTGACATGCAGAAGCAAGTGGAGGGCCACCAGGATGGTGGAGCACATGACATATAAGGAAAAGCTGAATGATGGGTTTGTTCTGTCTTAAGAAGAAGGGATTAGAGGGCAGATCTTACTTTTGACTTCAACTACTTAATGGGTGGTTACAGAGAAGCTAGGGCCAGGCTCTTCTCAGAGGTTCACAGTGATGGGGCTAAGCATCATCAGGCACAAGCTGCAAGAAGGGAAATTCTGATTAGACTTTAGGAAAAAAATTCAGAGGATGGATAAATGTTGGAACAGGTTACCCACAGATGTTGTGGAATCTCCATCCTTGGAGAAATTTAAAACCTGACTGGCCAAAACACTGAGGAACCTGATCTAACTTCAAAGTTGGATCTACTTTTGAAGATGGAGCTGTCTTGAGTTGGGTTAGGTGGCATTCAGAAGTCCCTTCCAAAATAAATTACTCCATGATTCTATAGCAATAGCCATACATGTTTTAAACAGAAATATTATGGCCAAACAGGTCTTCAGCTGCTGTTTGTATTATCTAGGAGTCTGAGTTTATGCCAAGTGATGTCAGGGATGCAGTTCTATTCTCTCTGAGTGATAGGGTGACAATTTAGAGTGTGCAAATTAACAAGGGATTTCCTATCTATCCACCCCTGGGAACCTAAACGTCCTCTGTCAACTTCTATGACATCGTGTCAGATTTCTTTCTGAGAATTTCTTCAGTACCACCATCCATTACAAGTATTTGGCTAAAGATAGTGGTTAAAGTGGATAAAGTGGTTTTAGAGCTGAATGTGGTGGCACATGTTTAGGCTCTTTGTTCTGCCAATTCCAGAGAAAATGTGTGAAGGCACCTACTTAGTAAGTGGTTTTATTGATCTACAGAGGCTTTTGAAAGTACTAGAAAGGTGTTTTGGCAACCCCTCAGGAAAAATATAGCTGCTTGGGCAAG